CTCTCGGGGATAAATTCCAGGTCTGCCACTTAATAGCTAGGTGATCTGGGAAAGTTATATAACCCTTCCGAGACTCATTTTCTTTATTTTTAAAAGCAATATAATAACATTGACCTCTCATGGTCACTGTTAAATGAGATGATGTTATGTTAAAATACAATGGATGGCCTGAAATGGATAATCCATAAATGAGAATAGACTTCAGAAGAGCAACTATTAGCTTCTACTACAAATGCAAAGGACATTTAAAAATCAATAACAAATATTGCCTGCTGGTCAAATATTATAAGCGGGACAGATTCCAGGAATCATCTCTGTATAACAGGGCTTATTTATGCAGAATTTAGGACCATTTGGAATATATGACCTTAAACACTTGAGCATCAGATATGCACAGGTTTGCTAACATTCCACTGAAAATCCAATGGGAGGAAATCCAACGAGACTGAGAAAATTAGGTGTGTTTACATGTACTTACACCATCATGCTGCCTGAGATACTCATTCAGGTCTCAGGGGCTTCACTTATTCTCTTCAGTATTTGCATAGAGGCATTACAGTGCATAGATCTAATTAGCTTTGAAACTTGATTTGGATCAATGTGATTAATGTGGGCTATGCTTCTGATCATCTGTGATATTTCTGAGAAGTAGCGATCACCTGGAACAACTGTCTTGTGGTTCATATTTAGTTGCACCTTAGGGAGCTGCCGGAAAAGCCATGATGCTTTTGTCTGTGTGAAAGTGACCCCCAGTTCAACTCACACAGCCTTGGCCTTTCCCACGTAGCATCCAGACTCCATCCCTCCCCACTGCTGGACTCAGATACGGAGATGCAGTTATTAAAAACACTTCCTTTCTCCGCCCTGTATTTATCTTTGTCCCAATCTCCCTTTCTACATAAGCCAAGAATTTCTTCCTTGTTCCTGATTTTCATGTGGTTTTTCATGAGTGATGTTATAAGTGGTTATGTTAATAATCTATTAGATCAAATTTGCTCTTTTGTTGTTTGTTTCACCTACCTATTTCTGAAAGCATTGCGTTATGGTTGTCAAATTCTCATATTCTTATCAAATTTTACTTTAGATATTTAAACGCTGTTATTAGGTTATGTGAATGTTTAAGAACTGCTGTCACCTCCATGTGAATTATATTTTTTCTTTTTAAAAAGCTTTTAAAAATATGTGTTAATTTACTTGCCACCAATATCTGAGAATACACATTCCCTCGCTCCTTAATTAACTGTTGATAGTATCAATTTGTTCACTTGCTATGAACATGATCTAATATGACAAGATCTCATTCAAGTTTCTATTTGCCATGTTTTCTTTATGTTTTTTATTGTTCTCCCATCATTATTTGCTTTAGTTAGATTGAATTTGCTTTCTTTGTACTATTTTTAATTTAATAGAGTATATGCATCTTATTTCTATTCCTCTAATAGTTATAACTCTTCAAGTTGTAATACTTTGTTTACATTTTCTACCAATTCTGGAATTGATCTGTTTCTATATCCTACCATCAAATTAGACAAAGATCTGAACATGCCTTTACCTCCCTCCCTTCTTTCTCTTCCACTCCCCATCTCGTTTGTTACATCATTAAGAAATTTAGCTACCAATTATTATTTCTTATCCACAATTATTTAGACTCCCTTTTATTTATTTGTCCCTTTGCTCACTCTTGCTCCTTGTGGTTCATGTGTGCCCTTAGGTTCTCTCGCTCCTCATCCAGAAAGAAATGACTGTGAGCAGTGAAATTTCTGAGTCCTTCCATGACATACAAATGTCTTTATATTCCCTCCTGCTTGAGTCATATGTTATTTAAGTATAAAATTCTACATACATACATAATTTCCATCCCCCAGCTTGGTGTGGCTTCTCTGTCTTCCTGCCTCCCATGTCGCTGATGAAAACTCTGATGTCAATGTTTTGTTCTTCTGTAGCCAATTTCTATTTTTATAGAAACTTTGAAGACATTCTCTGTATTTCATCACACAGTTTTGAAGACAATGCTTTCCTGTCATTTCTTTATATGTGGTACACAAGACCTTTTTCTCTGAGGACACTTGTCTCTGTTCAGCACTGAAGTTTTTTCTTTATTTCTGTAGGTATTACATTTCCACTCCATTCCAGTCTCTCTCTTCAGCGACTTCCACCAGATGGTTGTTGGAAATTCTTCTACATCTCTTAAATTTTTTTTAATTATTATTATTCTTTCAATCTCTTCAACCTTTGGGGCAGCATCTTGGGCATATTTCCTTCTCACTAATAGAGTCCTCCTTGGGTCCATTTTGTTGTTCAACCCATCTGGTGAGGGCTTGTATTTTATTCCAACCACACATTTTTATTTTCTACTACCGCAAATTGGTGTTTATGCATGCAATAGTTTCTCATATTCCTCTGAGTATATTCATTATACTTATTCTAAAGTCTTTATTCTAATTACTCGATCAACTCATTTCCCTGGGGGTTAGATCTTCCGATGATTACAGTTGGTGCCTCTTTTTCATGGTATTATTGCTTTTTTCTCAACTATTAGCTCTTTCTTGGTGTTTGCTCAAGTTTGTACTTCTGATTATCTATTAACCTTTATGTGAATGCCATAAATATTTACCACAGCCACCTCAGTGCCCCTGAGGCAAAGACAGGATGTACAGTGAGGAAGGGAGTCCCAGCGGCTGGACATCTGGACCTGTCTGCTTCTCATTCTTCCTGGACGTTACCTGCCACCTGGACGGCTGCCTTGCCCCTTGGGCCTCATACCCCCTGCCAAAGGAAACAGTTTCCCTGCTTGATACAGCATGTCCTCAGGCTGCCAGCTAACCCAACCCCTAGATGGGAATCACTGACTCTGTCTCTATAGGCACCTGCTTGTGGCCACAGGAGAGGACACTTGAAACTGAAGGCAAGTGAAAGGTGGAGACTGTGAGTTTAACTGTAAAATGATTACGGGAAATCAGAGCCCCATGAGGGCAATCAAAAACAATGAAGGTATTGGTGCAAAAAACCCGGTCTTAACAGGGAAGAGATGATTTGGAGGAGAAAGGAGTAACAGAGGGAAACTGAAAACGAAAGAGCAGTTCTTCCTCCCTCGCCTTGTGCATCTTACAGTGCAAACGGGAAGGCTCCTGGGAAGAAGATCCAGTCATGTCCAGGAATTCCAGGAACGTGGGGAAAGGAAGAGCGGGAAGGGTGTTCCCTGAAGTAGTGCACACAGGACGCACAGCAGAGAAACAAACTTGGGCAAAAGGAAGCAGGTCAGGAATGAGAGAGGAAGGGAGAAATGGTATCAGGAGCTGCCCGAGGCAGGACTCTGCAAAGACAAAAAAAAATAAAATAAATAAAATAAAATGAGTCACACACTGGAATGAAGAAGGTAGAAGAAAGGGAGATGAGCATGGGTTGTGTTCGCAAATGAAAGAGACATAACTAGTCCCCAAATTCTAGGTGAAAACTTTATGCCCCAACCTCTGCACGCTTTCTCCTAGATACTAGTTTTTGTGAAGATCAAACTTTGGGGTCTGAGGGAGGAAGGGGGTCAGAGAAGATGTAGGTTAATGAGAAAGCCAGAAAAAAAAATAATATTTTAGAGCAATAAAAAAAAAACACACACTCTCCCACAAACATTAAATGAGAAAAGATGTTATATTTCCCCCATAGAAGCCAATATATCTCTGCAAGTTACTACAATGTACAATTTATTATAATCCTAGAACTTTGGGATGCTTGGCTAGCTGCCCTTATGGAAACTTAGTATCCCAGAACCTGGTACACTGTCCCCGAAGATGAAGATTTTAACAGTAAAGGGATAACAGTTTACACTCTAAAGAGATGAGAGTATCAAACCTTCGGTGACTGGCACATGTTGTGAATGAGTGTGCTGATTCGAACTGATCGTTGTGTTGTGATATGTGTTGAGTGTGTTGATACAAGAGTTTAAAGGAAGTGTCTTCTTTGAACAAAGGAATAAGCAGCTGGGGCTTTGAGTGTCCTTTCTGTAAGGACGCAGTCTTGACTGTTTCTTAAATTTGCAGTTCTCACAAACTTTAGATTTGAAAACTTCTTTGTTTTGCATCTATGTTATTTGTATGTGTTTTGATTTTTAAAACTGATTTATTTTATACCAAGGCAAAAGTTGCCGCAAGGAAGTTAGGATCTTCTGGTTTGACATTTGCCATTTTGGGCAAGTAATTTATAAAAGTTGACAGAAAAATCTCATATTCCTATGTGGTTATGGACAACACCAGCCAATCCACAGCTGTTTCTCACACACTGTCCATGTGTAACAAGCTCAGGGAAGAAGACATGCACATAATCAGAGCGACCTCCCTGTGCCACCCCGTCTCCAGGGTAGAAGGAAAGTCAGTGTTCGCCTCCTATAACTACGAAACAATAAAGAATGCAGATTCATAAATGCTCCATAGACAGTGCCCTGAAAGACGGTCCAGTAGCCTGACTTCTTGCCTGGGCTACCAAATTATCTTTCCTCTCCTCTCCTTCTCTAGAAACACATGATTATGATCATTCATTTACACTTGAAAAATAAGAGAGGGAAAAAATTTAGCATGTTGTCATGGGTTGCTTGCAGGTATGAAGTAAAGTCTCTCCTTGCAAACAGGGCCACCTTTGATATCCAGTCCTCTTGTAGAAGGCAACTGGTACTAAGAAGCAAGTCATGTTTGCCAATAAAAACGGTAGACACCAAGCTAAGTGTATCTTAGCTGGCCAGATACACTTTGGGAAGCAATGAATGGATGTGAGTGTAATGAGACATGGAATATTGCTCAATCAAGACTATGCTTCTGTGGTTGACTCCCACATCTTGCCAAGATCTTTGCAAGAAATCACATTCAGAAACATCTTTTGGACCTGGTTGAATGCCTCAAGTCTTCGTTAATGATTAACCTCCTTTTAAATGGGCTTGTTGCTGGTCTCACAAGGCTTTCTATTTTGGTTCTCTATTCTCTTTAAATTTGCAGGAAAGAACTCTGAATCTCAAAATGCCTATAAGTAAGAATAATCTGGTTTTACTACTTGGAATGATATGTCTGGAACAAGGTAAATCTGCAACTCGCTCTCTTTCCAAAGGTAAGTTCTAAACAAACTCTATAATTATCTTTGTCTAAAGGAATAACTTTGGCTGGCAGTGGGCATCATAACTCCACTCCATAGTCCTTTGGGAAAACTAGAGAAGAAAATATATTTTGGAGACCTAATTGTTTTCATGTAATTATTTTAGACTTTTTTTCCCGATATCAGCATATGAAACTGGGGAAAATATTTATTGAATACAACTTGGACAAGTTGTATTTATCTGGAGAAAACTGGGATTGTTCACTTATTTGGACGTATTGCACAATTCCATCCTCATTCATGGAACAAATTCTGGAAATCAGCATACATTTGGAAGCATCTGTACTTTTTCGGAAAACTGTCTTGCTGGGAAATATGAAGCATGTTCACTGTGGTGTATTATAAATGGTCTTTCTTCCCTCACGTAACCTAAGCTGAGGGCATTTCCTGCAGGCTTCTCCCCAGCTGGATATGTGCCAGCCCTGAGAATCACCATGTTTTCTGTCTTTGCTCCAGTGAGTTCAGAAAATAGTAAATTTTACGTCTAAGGTATTGATAAAATTGAGGAAGACTTCTTAGTTGAGGTGATCTCCAAGTTGAAGAATAAGGATTAGAGGACTCAGCTAGGCAAAGAAGTGGGGTGATTATGAATGAGACAGGGCTTTCCAGGCCTTTCTAGAAAACGCGTAGAAAAGAATGATCTGCAGTAGGCACAGACGTGCCACCCCTGAGTCACCAGGCAGGTGCATACATCTTTAATCTATGCATCTTTTAGCTGAGGAGTAAACAAAATCAAGGATAAATAAGTACATGCAATTTTTTCAGGGACAAAATCTTTTCCACAAAGACAAAAGACTTCTTTCTTCCATTAACGGGCAACAGACTCTTCTATCCTAACACCAGTCTAGCGTGTGAATCAGGACCCAGTCTTGTCTCCACTCCTCTCTCCTTGAACAATCTGCTACTTTTTACCCTCAGAGAGAATTCAGTCCAATATCTGGCTGTGCCAGTACCACAGACTCAGCCCCTGGGAGGAGCAGCGCAGATGTACCTACACACAATCACAGTCTAGGGCAGACGATGGCATCATCCACTCAGTGAGTTAACTGAGCCATTGCTATGTAGCTAACTGTGTTAGATACTGTGGATATAGGTATTTCTATGGTAAAGATCATATCTTTGAGGACCCCACTGTCTAGTTAGGTTGAAAGGCAGAAACAACCATGTGCATGTAATTAATGTCAGAGAAGTACAGAGCGCTGTGAGGAGCCTCCAAGGGTCCAGATTGCTCAGAGGTAAAGGGGGGCTGCATTCCTGCTAACCCAGCACAGAGCTACCTCTGAGGCACTTAATCTTTCAAAGTGCATCTTTTCGAACAAAGTAGGTGGGATCACAATACCAGATATCAGGTTATACTACAAAGCGACTGTAACCAAAACAGCCTGGTACTGGCACAAGAACAGGCATATAGACCAGTGGAACAGAACTGAAAACCCAGAAATGGACCCAAGGCAATACGCTCAATTAATATTTGCCAAAGGTGGCAAGAGCATACAGTGGAGTAAAGACAGCCTCTTTAATAAATGGTGTTGGGAAAATTGGACGGCTACATGCAAAAATATGAAACTAGACCATCAACTTACACCCTACACAAGAATAAACTCAAAATGGATAAAAGACTTAAATGTGACCCGGGAATCCATAAAAATTCTAGAAGAAAATGTAGGCAACAAAATTTCGGACATCATACGGAGCAGAATTTTCACTGATACATCACCTAAGGCAATAGAAACACAGGAGAAAATGAACACATGGGACTACATCAAACTAAAAAGCTTCTGCACAGCAAAAGAAACAGTCATCAAAATGGAAAGGCCACCCACTGTATGGGAGAACATCATTGCCAATGATGTATCCGATAAGGGGTTAATTTCCAATATATATAGAGTGCTCATACAACTCCACAAAAGGAAGACAAAGAACCCAATTAAAAAATGGGCAGAGGAGCTGAATAGACACCTCTCCAAACAGGACATACAAATGGCCAAGAGACATATGAAGAAATGCTCAACATCACTAATCATCAGAGAGATGCAAATTAAAACAACAATGAGATATCACCTCACACCTGTCAGAATGGCCGCCATCAACAAATCATCAAACAAGTGTTGGCGAGGGTGTGGAGAAAAGGGGACTCTAGTACACTGCTGGTGGGAATGCAGACTGGTGCAGCCGCTATGGAAAACAATATGGTGCTACCTCAAAAAATTAAAAATTGAACTTCCATTTGACCCAGTGATCCCACTCCTGGGAATATACCCTAAGAAGCCTGAAACACCAATCAGGAAGAATATATGTACCCCCATGTTCATAGCAGCACTATTTACAATAGCTAAGATCTGGAAACAGCCCAAGTGTCCACCAGTAGACGAATGGATAAAAAAGCTGTGGTACATATACACCATGGAGTACTATGCAGCGGTAAGAAAGAAAGATCTCTTATCCTTTGAGACGACATGGAGGGACCTGGAAAGTATCATCCTAAGTGAAAGAAGCCAAGCAGAAAAAGACAAATACCACATGATCTCACTTATATACGGAATATAATGAACATAACAGTCTGAGGAATACAGTAGACCCAGACACATGGAAGTAGGGCACAGACTGACATCCCTCAGAAGAGGGGATGGGGGGTGGGGGGGTGGGAAGAGATAAACCACAGAACTTATATGCATGTATGCATGACCAATGGACATGGACAACTAAGCCGGGGACAGGGTGGAGGGGGGGGGGGGGGGGTGCCAATGGGGTAAAAAGGTAAAATATCTGTAACAAAAAAATAAATAAAAATTCATTTTAAAAAAAAATAAATAAATAAAGTGCATCTTTTCATGATTCGCATGTTCTAAAAAATTGAAAAGCTGAGCAATCTTTTGTACTGCAAATTGCAGCAAAACCCACAATTAACTTAGAGCCGTTTTGCAGTCTTTCTACATGATCCATGTCCTACAGTTTTTTTTCCTCACTCAGAAGAGTTTCCTGTGTCCCTCAGTCTTAGAAGCTATCTAATCACTTGTTTTGGTGTTTCTTTTCCCAGCTCCCACGTGTGGGCAGAGTCTGGTGAAGGCACAGCCTTGGAATTCCTTGAACCTTTTCAGTCGCATTGTTGGGGGAAGCCAAGTGGTAAAGGGGTCTTACCCATGGCAGGTGAGTCTCAGAGAGCATTCTCTGGGGGGGACTATGAGCTGTCTTGGGATTGGATCTCCCAGAATCACATGCTACTTATCAGTGCACTCCACTCTGCCTACTGGTCACCAGAAATCTGAGGAGCATGTGCAGGGATTCAAACCCCTCGTGTACCACTTATGTACCAGTTAAGTTCAGAAAAGGTGTCTCCAGAATAGTTACATTCACTATTGACTTGTTCTAAAAATTGAAAATGCCATCCCAAACTTTCAACCCCTTATACAAAAATCCCACTTCAAGAAAGTGAAAACTTTTAAATTTACAATTTAAAAATAATTTTCTGATTCAATACATATATTTAAAATATACGTATCTCATTACAGTTAAAGATGACCAGGGAAGTCAAAGGTGTCCTATCCATAGGTCTACGTTTGTCTGAGGTGTAAGATTTGTACCCAAACCATAGGACTGCTCAGGGAATAATAAGGCGACTGCCTTCTTAGTAGCCAGTGTCCTAAGAATTCTGCCTCAACCTAATTTCCTGGCCCCCCCATGCCACAGAAATGTCTTTGTGCTTCTGCGCCTGGCCAATGGTGTTTACATTTATTGTCTTTGAAAAGTCCCCAGCTTTCTTTGCCCTGGGAGCCATATTGTATTCTTGCCATTTAATTTTGCAAGTAGAATGATAGCTCTTTATTTTTACTTTTCTTCAGTCAGTCATATTAACTTTTAGGTCAGTGGATATTTGGTAATGGTTGGTTGAATGAGTTTATGTTCACTGGGTTGATGAATTAATTACTTGGCTGAAGAGTTGGTTGATCAGCTGCTTACTCCAGTCAGTTGGTGGGCTAGTCAAATCAGAAGTCCATATTCAAATTATAGTCAGGGATAAATCATTGACTTTTATTTACTTGCTTTTTATTCTATTCTTAGTCTTTTCTCTACATTAAATATATTTTTCTTTTCTTCTTCTTCTTTTTTTAATCCTCACTCAAGGACATTTTTGCATTTATGTTCAGATAGAGCGGGAGGGAAAGAGGGAGAAAGAGAGAGAGAGAGAAACATCGACATGAGAGAGACACATCGACTGGCTGCCATCCACACGATCCCAACCAGGCTGGGGACAAACTGTAACCGAGGCACGTGCCCTTAGCGGGAACCAAACCCAGGACTCTCTGGTCCGTGGGCTGACACTCCAACCACTGAGGCAAACCGGCCAGGGCTAAATATATTTTTCAATTGCTCATTGAATAATTTATCATCAAAAAGGGAATGAGTCTAATAAGTTGCTCACTTTCTTGTTTCAACAACGGAATTAAAAATATTATTTGTACCCTGCCAGTCATTTTAAAGGCAAATCAAATATCATGAACAGGATAAACCAAAGATAGAGGCAGAGTAAAAAACAGGCTTGAGGAAGTTGTAGAGGTGAAACAGTTAAGAGGATGAGAAAACGGTAGGTCTCCACGGCGTCCCCTAGAGGCTCGGAGGAGCTGGCGCATGTTTGACTCCCTTAGCCCTCTCACCCTGCCTTTCTCTCTAACCTGTTCATCTGGGTCCTGCTGTAGCTTATGATTCTTTTTCTCTCTTGTCATTCACCGATATTGTTTATATGGTTAGAGTAACAGTACGAATCAACATTATTATAAAAAATAAATGCCAACAATTTAGACAAAGTGAATACTGTAGCCAGTTATCTAAGATTAACTACCTGTCCTGTGAACCAGGCTGGGAAAGTTCTGGCTCCAGCCCTGCTCTTTCTTTTCCGAGCTGTAGTGAAATGGTTTTACACCTTTACAGTGCGTGAGTTCTAGTACTTGTGAAGACTATGTCTGGGTCTGTTTTCTAGAATATGCCCGGTCTCCAGGTTTGTGGGATCCCAGGGCATTAATGGGCTCTTATCTAAGGTCTCTGCCATTCAGGTGTCTCTGAAACGAAGGCAGAAGCACATCTGTGGCGGAACCATCATCTCTCCACAGTGGGTGGTTACGGCTGCTCACTGCGTTGCAAACAGGTAGGGGCAGGCCTAGCACGTGGACAGAGGTCAGATTGCCCTTCTTTTGCCTTGGAATCAGCCGCTATAACTCCAAAACCAGGCACTGGGTGATGCATACTTTAGTTGGGAGCACATCTTAATTGCATAACACAAACAGAGCTCCGTGATGTTGTCAGAGGGTACTCAGCTTGGTGGAAGACACACATCTCTTGCAGAAGTAGAACAGTTAAATATGAATGAAAGTTAATAAAGAATACTACCCAAGCGAGGGGGGAAAAGAGCATCACAAAGAAATATTTATAAAAGTTCTCTCCTATTTTTCCTAAATTTCAGTGAAAAAAAAGATCACGCAGTTCATTATACATCTTAAAAAATGGATAAAAGAGACCAAAGGGAGGCCAGTAAAACCTAAAGAAGGCTCCTCCCACACCTTCTGTCATACTGATCCTGCCTCTCTGAGCTCCACTCCAACAACTTGCATCCTTGGTGCACGTTCCTGAGTGTTTCAAATGTCCCGCTGTTGCCAGGGCTCTTGGCGCTCTCTCGGCTGCACTCGAGATCAAGTCCCCACAGCTGCCCTCTTTCAAATTTGCAAACATCGGCTGGATGTTTACTTGGTGCTAGACATTAGTGGGTACCAAAGATACAACGATGGGTGAGATCCTTCCTGCCCCCAGAGGTGACAGTCTAAAGAAGAGTCAGCTGAAAATCCCAGTGCAGTGTGGCAGGGGGCGAGGCTGGAGAGCTGCCATGTGCTGGCTGCAGTCCTTCATACAGCCAGGAGCCAGGACAGTTTACCAAGAGAAAAGTATGTCCTTTCCCAATTTTTATAAAATCATCCCTTCTGGGAATGAGGGGTAACCCCAAATGGCAAGCCCAAAGCTCTTAATCTATCTCAAAGCATCCCATCAAGTTCCTCCTCTCAGACAACTTTGCTTTAGGAAGGGGAATAGAATGGTCTTTCCCAGGTCATGCCAGGTCTCTGAATGACAAACAGGAAGGAGGTTAGGAGAAGAGCCCCTCCTCCCCTTGTTGAAACCCAGTCCAGCGCCCTGAGAATGCACGGTCTCTGGGATATCACAGGTATGGTGCTTTGATGGCTTTCACAACACACATTCTGCATTAGCTCTCTGACAGTAAGGCCATGCTTAGTGGGGATCACAAGTCATTCACTGACACTGAGGCCAGGATGACCACATAAGGCAGCTAAATAAAGTCCACTATAGCTTTAGACCCTTGAATTACAATGTATATACACCATTAGGCATTTTACAAATAGTATTGCAAAGTATTTAATTTATTACATCATTGACTCCATGAGGCCATTCTTGACCACTCCCCCACTCAAACTGAGAACCTCTGCATTAAGAGTGTGGGAACATGCTCACTTTCTCCGCCCAGCAGCCTCCTACCCCCGTTATCCACCCATGCCATTCTGAAGAGGCCGGTTTGTCAACCATTAGAACTGAACTCAGAGGCTCAATGAAATCAATTCATTCTGCTGCATCCTCTTCCTAGAAATATTGCATCAACTCTGAATGTTACTGCTGGAAAACATGACTTAAGCCACATAGAGCCAGGAGAGCAAACCCTGACCACAGAAAGCATCATCATACACCCACGTTTCTCCTCCAAGAAACCGATGGACTACGACATTGCTCTTTTGAAGATGGCTGGCACCTTCCGTTTTGGTAAACATTTCAGGCTCTGAATGATCTATCCCACGTTCTCTGTCAATTCTGTTCCATTGCACATTCCTTACAGTATATGTTTTGACCAACAATTCTGGGTCATGGACGTAGAGACAAAGATTTGGGGTGGAGGGGCCCCTACCTGACACACCTTTGTTTGTAGCTTCAGGTATAGGATTATGCAGTGTTGGGAAAGGGTCTTTCTCTTTCTGATAAGTGACACCTTATCAGAAATATTACAACACTTGCGGGATCTTGGGGGAACCACCTAGATACCAATTGGCGAGTGGCTCCTGGTGTCCTCTCCTCCACGCCTGGCCTTGCTCTTTTTCTCAGGCCCGTTTGTGGGGCCCATGTGTCTTCCGGAGCCGGGAGAACGATTTGAGGCTGGACTGACTTGCACCACTGCAGGCTGGGGCCGCCTGATTGAAGGTAAGAACTTCCGTGCCTCGACCCTTCATCAGGTGTCTCAACTTTCTGCTGGGTAATCAGAAAACAGAAATTTTAATCTGTTTTTATTTTAATTGTGCAACATTTTAAAATATAGAGACTGCCAAGATGTACTGAGAAATTCAGGGCTTTCCAAAAGACACCGCCTGACCGGGGCAGGCATCTTCAGCTCGGAGAGCATGGGGAGGGGCTCGCTGGGGCTCTCATCTCTGTTTTCTAGACGGCCTCCTCCCACAAGTCTTGCAGGAAGTGAACCTGCCCATTTTGACCCAGGAGGAGTGTGTGGCTGCTCTGTTAACCCTACAGAAACCCATCAGTGGGCAGACCTTTCTCTGCACAGGCTTCCCAGACGGAGGGAGAGACGCATGTCAGGTAGGTGGGAGCAGCTGGGCTGACGGTCCCAGGCCGGCTTCCGTCAGCTTTGTAAGACTGGGCTCTGATAAGAAGGGTCAAGAGTGACAGGAGAGGTCGAGTCAAAATTAAGGGACACTTTAAACAACCTATGTATACCAGGGAGTGTGAATTCAGAGGAGGTCTTCCACTTTTTCCAAAAGACTAAGTGACAGCTAATGCCAGTAATGAGCTCAGGGCTGTCCACCTCTGAAGAATGGCTGGCTCTTTCCTATTTAGAGGTTTCTTGTTCGTGTATAATGGGAACTTTCCTTTCCTGCCACTCCTCCTGCTGACCAAGACCCGAGGTCAGTTTTACTACTGGGCAAGACTTCTCTGAGCCTGCAAGACGAGACAGGAAAAGGAAAAAAGCCTGATACTTGCTGAAGGCCTAGGATGTAGGAGGAGGAGGCAGAACCGATAGACTCCACCGATGCTCAAGGATCTAATGGGAACGGTGCTTGCCTCTCCTCCCAGGCCCCAGTCTAAGTTATCAGAAGTGAAGAAATGTCATTGATCCTCACCTAGCATCTTTATGGGGGATAAGGGTGAGCACGTTGGGGCACAGACAATGATCACGATGGTAACAGAGGCTTTTCCCCCCACAGGGAGATTCAGGAGGTTCCCTCATGTGCCTGAATAAGAAAGGGGCTTGGACTCTCGCTGGTGTGACTTCCTGGGGTTTGGGCTGTGGTCGAGGCTGGAGAAACAATGTACAGAAAGAAAATCAAGGATCCCCCGGGATCTTCACAGATCTTAGTAAAGTGCTGCCCTGGATCCACAAACACATCCAAACTGGTAATAAAGCGAGCACACCAGGTCAAGAAGCTCGGGCCAGAGAGAGCATTGGCAGAGTCTAGGCAAGTCAGGACCACTGCACAGACACGCTCCGCTTCTATTCCTAGGGTAGCACATAAGGGCTGTGACACTTCCTGAGGCTAAAACAAAGTAAAGCATGGTGTGTGGTACAGCGTACAAATATTCAATGAAACATGAATCCATCCTAGACTTTGTCAGATTTGCCTTTAATTGAAACTATCTCAGCTGGTGACATGTAGTCATCACTTCTCAACTGCTAGCAAGACTCAGCAACCAACAGTACAGATCAGTGCTCATCAGCCACAGGAAATTTTGCCCCTGGGGGACACTGTCTGGAGACATTTTTGGTTGTCACCACTGGGGGAGGGGGGCGACAGTAGCATCTGGTGAGTAGAGGCCATGGGTGCTGCTAGGCCTCCTGCAATGCACAGGGCAGCCCCCACAGCGAAGAATGACGAGGCCCCGAATGTTAGCAATGCCGTGGTTGAGAAGGCCCAGTATAGATCCAGGTATTGCCGTCTGAAGAGGCCTGGGTCTACGTACACCCTTCTACTAGGTTGACTAGTGAGTTCACTGGAACTTCATTTCTGCCTCCAAATCAGCCTTACTTGTTTTCATAACTGTTGGCTTGCAGCTGCAGTAAGGCTTCTATTTTTCTCCAAAGGGATTAATTCAAATTAGTTCAGTAAGAACGTGGGTTCGTTTTTAAGTATATGGTCTGGGAGCGGGTACCTGAGCCCTCGGTTCAAGCTGTAGCTCACCCAGCAATTCCTCTGTGGTTCTGGGTGAGCTACATCCACCTCCAGCCTCCCTTCTCATGGAAAAATGAGAGGGGTAGACCAGATGACCTCTTCTTGCTCTGTGTAACCTCCAAGCTAATCATGGCCAGTCTCTTAATTTGCCTACTTAATAAACAGGGTGAAATCATCTCCTTACAACAAAAAGGCCACTTTCTGCTTTGTCAAATGATCCCTTCTGTTCTTCCCATGCAGTCAATTTTCATTATTTGCATACTGACTCCAAAATCTCTGCACTTTTAAGTCAGGGAGATGCTAACTTCTGGAAATATTGTTTAGGATATCACAAACCTTGAATTTCATCTTTCCTTTTCTTTCCCAGGGAAGCAGAGAAAGAGCTCCAGAGGTGGGTATTTCTCCAGCCTGCTCCCCCAGAAACATGACTTACTATCTAGCATTTCTTCATATCAGTTCCCTTTATAATCAAAAGTCTTCCTCTGCAAGTGCTGTCCTTGCTCACTATGTATAAAACCACCACTTGGAAAACCCACAGCCATTCCCTGCCGGTCAGGGCAGTCCCCTGCCCAGCTGGAGCCCCAGACTCCCTCCATGTCACGACCTGTCAGTTCAGAGCATCACCTCAATCCAGCAAACGTTTTCCAGATCCCTGCTTTGGATCAGACTTGAGGAGGCGGGTGGGGCGGTGCAGATGTGGTCAGCAAGCTCCACACCTTGCCCTGACAGTGTCCTTACTTGTCATCCAGGGGAGGTACCCCGTGTCACATTGCAAACCTTCACTGAATTCACTCTGGCTTTGGGAAGCTCCTTCCTACCTCTGGGCCTCAGTTTCCCCATCCACAAAATAAAAAGAGTTTGGACAAGATGATTTCTAAGGCGCCGTAAGCTCAAATCTCCAGTGGTTCTGTGAGTCTGTGGAACTACCTACAAAAGGCAGTGTGAGAAAGAGTACCCTGAGGGCTCAGGGGATAAGTGGCTGCTTCTCGCAGGGGAAAAAAAAGACAGGGAGGCTTTGAAGGACAGATATTTTCTAAGTGGAACCTTTAAGGACAAAGAATGAGTAGGCTTCTGCGAGGTGGAAGTGGGATCCAGGTAAAGAAAAACATTCCAGCTGTCATCCTGGGTGGATACTAAGGGATGGAGACAGGAAAACGTAGGCTGTAATGGAGACCAGTCAGTCGGTCAAAGCAGCTGAAGTGTGGGTATGCGATGGGGCTTGATGCGGGGAGATCAGAAAGAGAATTTGAGACCAAATTATGGAAATTTTGAATGCTGGTCAAAAAGGTTAGACTTTACTGAGTAACAGGAAGTTGATTAGTGAAACAGATTAAAGCCCTACTTTAGTGGGAAGAGTAGCACTAGGGACTAGATCGGAGAGGAGAGCATTCGAGGTGGATTTATGAGATGGTGCATTACTTCCGGAGACAAGAAATGGAGGCTGGACCTAGGGCAAGGGCCAGAGCATGACATGGAGGGAAGAGAAACAAGAAGAATTAGGACTTGTTGGTCACTTAGATGAAGGGTGACGAGGGAGGAATCAAGGCTGCTACCTAAGTTCCAGGCATGGGAAACTAAGCAAAGGGCAGAAGAGAGCAATCAAAGCAGAAGTGTCTGCATAGCCTGAGAAGTTTCCTTTGCACTCTGTTCAGTTTCAGGGGAGACATCTAGGAGACGATCGAGAAATCGGGTCTGAAGTTCAGGGATGTGGAGATGGTAGTTGAAACTGAGGGTATGCAAGAGACTGGTCAGAGGGTCTGGGCAGAGAGAGGGGTCCGAATGATAGGACCTGGGAACCACCTGTATTTATAGAATGGAGTATGGGGTCGGAGAAAGAAGAGTAAAGGAGAAGAAATCATAGAATCTCAAGGTTAGGCAGGACCTAAAAGGAACAGAAAGGAATAAGGCATCTAGAAGCCAAAGCAAGAAAAGGTTTTATGGGAAAGGGAGGTACGCGTAACAGAGGACCAGGAGGCTCCTGGAAAGCTCGGGCTGTCTTACCAGCCACCAGTTAACCTAACTCTGTGGCTTCCCTCCCAGCCTCCTGCAGTGAGAAGGGCCTTGTGGTCAGGGGGCCTGAGGGGGAGCTGCACTTCCCAGAAAGCCCCTACCTCTATTATGACAGTAAGCAGTGAGTAGCCCCTCTGCCGCTCCTCCCCCACCCCACCTTCAGTCTGACTGTGCCCACGAACTGGGACAGCCACTTTCTGTCTAGAAATAACACCTTCCCGATGTATCTGCCTGCAGACAGTGTGTCTGGACCCTGTTGGCACCCGAGGAAATGCATGTGTTGCTCACTTTTTCCCACTTGGATGCAGAGTCTTGTCAACACAATTACCTGTCAATATATTCTCTAGAAGACAGACTTATTGGTGAGTGGATTTTCACATTGTCAAATAGACACTGTGCTTGGAGGGCTTGACAGAGCCTGGTTACAATATGTCTGGCACTGAGACATCTGTAAACACCACATTTGTCTCAGTGTTTGAGACAGAGAAGTGACAGTGGAAAGAACGGGACCTGAGCCTGGGTGATGGCTGTAAGGTCGCAGTGCATTTTATCTGCTGCACCTGCTCCCAAGGACCCAGACCCCCTTCAGGCATTGCCAGGCCTGGAGCCCGTCAGGAGTCAGGTGCGGACACATCGCGGGCCTCCCAGGGCCTCCCAGGGAGCAGGCTGCTTTTCTAGGCATGAAAATGACCTTTCCCTGCCGCGCCCAGCTAAGGATAAAAATGGATACTGGTGAGTAGGAGAGAAAAGTTACTTATATATCAAACAGAAAGAAGAGAGAGTTTCTGTGGTTCTTAACTGGAGGTGATTTTGCCTCCCAGGAGACTGTTGACAAAGTCTCAGAAGGCTTTTTGGTTGTCACAGCTGGAGGGAGTGTTACTGGCATCTACAGGTTAGAGGCCAGGAAATGGTGCAAAACATCCTACTATGCACAGGAGCCTGAACCCAAAGAATGTTCCAGCTCAAAATGTCAGCAGAGCCAAGGTTGAGAAACCCCAGTTTAGACAATCCTGCACTATCGTGAAAAGTTCAGCTCTCCTTAAGTCTTTGAATGGGTGCTGTTTTCTAGACTCAACAAAGGATCTTGTGTTGCAGGGAAATTGTGCGGAGAAAGCCTCGCTTCATCAGTGCTGGTTGCTTCCCACTCCTTGAGGCTGATGTTCATCTCTGACGCCACAGATCATGCCACCGGGTTTAATCTCACCTATAAAGCTGTTATACCAAACCACCTTCCTGGTAAAACCATTTGATTTTATCACACTATCCAGGCCTTTTGTAGAAGTTGAGCCCCACAGGAAGTAGGTGGGGGGCAGGGAGCTCCCTCAAGGCCCACGAAGCTCCATCGTGAGGAGCACGGCCCGGGAGCTGCCAGGCACAGCACCCCTTCTCCGGTGCTGCCATTGCTCACCCACGTGAGCTGAGAGGGCCTAGTGGGCTCTGGGAAATCAGTGCACGGACCTCTTCCTCCTCGTTGGCCCAGCTTGAAGATTTGGGTCATGCATCGTTCATGGAAGACAGGAGGGAGGACAAAGGGGTCCTCTTTGCTTGGCTGATGCCACTGTTTCAATGTTCTCCTTGTGTCTCAGATTCAGGTTGCAGCTCCTTGACTGTCCTTTTTGAAGAAGGCCTCATCCAGAGTCTTCATTACCCTGAAGACTACGGTGACATGGCCAACTGTAACTGGGTTTTTCAAGCCCCCAAACATTACGTAATTAAGGTACTGACTCTGGTTACCCTTACTTTGCTATGGTATGTCCACAGAATAGCTAACATAAGCACCATTAGGGCCGAGGTTTTTATCTCATTTATTCACTGCTGTATCCCTGGCCCTGGTCCCTGGTCCCTGGTCCCTGGCATCCAAGGCTCTCTACAAATTCTAGTGAATAACAGACCAGCCTATCCCCCCGTAACTACCCACGCTTACCACCAGATGGCAGTTGCGTACTTTACTTTTTGTTGAAGTGCTGCCTGAATCTTTGTACCTGGTAAATTGTTTCATCAGACCCTAGTCCCTTCTAGAAACACATGGTAAGTGATGGCTAACAAAAGTCAACAGCAGTAAGGACCACACCATCAAGCTCTCATGCAGCAGGGACAGAGGAACCAGCATAGGACAGGTTCAGGGGCACTGGTGTGAGAGTCGTGACATGTACTGGGACGGGTGGTGGAAGGTAAGGCTCAGGTCAATGGAGAGCCTTGAGTGTCAGGGTACCGAGTGGTGTGTGTGCCCCTTTGTGTGTTCACCGAACGCCAGGGAGCCATCGGCAGAGAGCCGCCTCCAGAGGTCGAAGGTGAGACTGCCATCAGAGTGAGGGGGAACTAGGCATTCATTTAGAAGTATTTCTCTTAAAACAATAATTAAAAGCAAGAGAATATGAAGTTGAGAATGTAGAGTATAAACTAAAGGGAAAGATGAACGTTCTCATATGTTCAAGAGGCAAAAGAGATCGGAAACACCGGAGAGCCAACCTGCTGTGGTGTTATGACAGTGCAGAGAATGGAGCCTTTAATTTCAACACAAAACAAAACAAACAAACAAAATGCATTGGCCCGGCCAGTGTGGCTCAGTGATTGAGAGTTGACCCAAGCACCAAGAGGGTGCTGGTTCAATTCCCAGTCAGGACACATACCCAGGTTGTGGGCCTGATCCCCAGTGGGGGGCATGCAGAAGGCGGCCAGTCAATGTTCTTTCTCATCGATGTTTCTCTCTCCCTCCCTCTCCCTTCCTACCTCTCTAAAATCAATAAAGAAAAAAAACAAACAAAATACTTTGGACTTACCACACCAGGTCAGAATTTAAAGTGAAGGAGGGCTGAGCACTCATTGTCCAGTTCCCACGTCATCTTCCAGTAAAAAGGTGGAAGAACTGGATCGGACAATTGAACAACAGAGAGGAGGAAGCAGTGGGGGTGTCTGAATATCAAGTCAAGTCAGATGTGAGGAGCAGAAACAAGACCACATAGGTTTTACCCATGAGTGGGAGCAGACACGGAGGAAGTAAGCATAGGTCTTTTCCTGAAAGTGTCTGAAACCCAAACACGGCAGATGTTTCAGGAGGAAGCAGAATTAAAGGAAGATCTGTTATTAGTGATGGAGGAGAAAAGTTTAAGTACGAGCATTTTCCTGGAAGAAGGATGAAGACAGGTTTAGTTGAAAACCTGGACATGCCGGAGATGGAAGTAATTTAAAAACATCTACTCAATAAGTGCACAGCGAATGTTGTGTGTCAGTGAAATGAAGCTCTCACACCCGGCCGGTGACAGCATCGTCCCAGGCCTCAGCCCAGACAGTAGTTTGGAAATTAGCATTACAAGTCATAAGGATGTGCACACCACGACTTGGGAGAAAGGGTTTACTTCCAGAAAGCATCCCAGTAAGGGTTTAAGTAGGGGATTCATTCAAATGACTTCTGACGCAGCTCCTTCTCCCCATGCTTACACTCAGTGGTCCATCATCAATGGTCATTTGCCTCCACTTTGTCCTATCCATTCAGTCCCGGGCTCTGCCCGAGTGCTCAGGCCCCACTGAATCCCTGTCACCTGGATGTCTAAAATCTGACCTCCTGCTTCATCAGCCCCCTCCCCCACTGCTCTTCTCTGCACACTCAACTGGTGGTGTCAGCAAACCGCTCAAATACTGCTCTTTGCTGTTTCTTTGCTCCTCCTAGCAGGGAGCCAGGGAGCTCAAATATCTGCATACCCCACCCTGACATTAGGGTTATATTCAGCAGCTTCGATGTTTTAGCAGGTCTGGGAGCCTGTGGAACAGCATCTTCTCCTAAGTAACGTAGCCCACTCATGGTCCCGCTAGCTCTCACACTCCAGAGCGAGTTGTGCAACCCAACTTGTCTGCCTAATCAAAATCAGCTCTCACCCGCCATGTAACGTTGCGTCTCCTCAGCTTTCCTTTCAGAGCCTGGAAATAGAGGAGAGTGGAGACTGCACTTCCGACTATGTGGCGGTGCACGGGGATGTGGAGAGGAAGAAGGAGCTAGGTTTGTGTTCCTGGAGCCCAGCCTCCCTGGTGTGCATCCGGACTGCTTCTCGGGGGGGATAAAAAGGGTCTGGCTCAATGGTGCGTCATCCCCTGCACCACCTCCACCCGCCACGCTCTCACCCCACCCCTCCCTACATCAGGGGCAGGAGAGCGAGCGGAATCACAGGGCATTTGGATAGAAAATCCGGAGAGCCCCCCTGAACTAGGGGTCAGAAGGGGAAGGTGCCATTAACATCAACCCTCTGGCCAGAACAGTGCCCTTAGTGGTATTCCCAGTAGGAATGTCCGGGAGGTAAACAGAATCAAAATGTTGATGGGGTTAAAAACATGTTCTAAAGAAGCCCACTAGTGATATCCACCAGAAAAGTTTATTTCCTAACAGTTACCTAAGGGACGATTTTTTTTTTTCTTTAACACAATGTCATGTCTGTTTGCTGGGCCTTGACCGCGTCCCGCCTGGGCTGGGCTTGAACCAGCCCGGCTGTGCGGCTTTATCGCCCCTGCCCCGGTGCTGAGCGCCTCAGGTGTGATGTTCATCAGCTTCCGGTCAGATGAAAATGTGACCTTTAGAGGCTTTCAGGCTGCAGTCGCCTTCATTCCTGAAACAGGTAAGAGGCATCGACTCCCCGGGCCCAAATTCTCATCCTCATCATGCGTCCATCAGGGACAGCCTTTAGGGCCCAACACGGATCCAGCCAGTGTCACTACCCGCAGCAGCTCTGTTCTGCAGTGTCTCCACGCGCACTGAAGCTAGTGATCACGGAGCCGGGGTTCCTGGGGGAGATACAGGGCGAGGCTCCCACGAGCCGCTGGTTTTATGTCTGTTCCTGTTGAACGGCACCTTATTGCGTATATAGTGTTAACCCATTAACGCTGAACTCACAGCCAATACCACTGTAACTCAGCCTAAACAAAGCTTATCTATCACATGTGTTTTCAAAGGCACCACAGTCTCCTTGCACTTAGAAACACTAGATGGCACTCTGACACCAAGGGTAGGGTCATTATAAACAGCAGAGTTACCAACACACACACAGACACAACCCCACAAAAAACGTGGCACTAACCAGACCATGGAAATAACACACACTTAGAGTATAGAGCAGAAACAAGACGGCAGAGTGTCACTTCGTTAGGCCTGAGCTAGGGACGCATCAGGTGACTCAAATTTTTCACAAATGTCCATGAATGACCATAAAGGCACCCTGAATACTGGCTCTGACTTACGAATAAATGTTAGAGAGTAGGTAACTCCTCAAAGGATGAGGATCAACTGTATGTCTGAATCTCGGCCTATATTTACTAGATATGTGACCCAAGTGTCCTCTAAGACTCATTTCCTTCCACCTGACAAGGGGCGAATAACACATGCCCAGTAGAATGTAGTGAGGGTTAAATCGGATAAACTATGCCTGGCCACGAGCCAGTGTGTGACTCATAACAGGGGCTCCAAAATGTGGAATATCTTCACTGACCCCCCATCCCCAGACACCTGAATTACAGTTTCCCTCCAGCCCTCACACCTTGAGCACTTCGTCCAAACCCCACGAAGCTTCTCAAGATGTTTATTCTTGTGAGGGTTAAGCAGCTACTTACGCCAAAGCCAGGTTACAGTAAAATTCCCCACTCTTTAGTTAAATACCCTCAGAGTCCGGCTGACTGAGATGCCCCAGCACTCTAACAATACAGTTTCTGCTGAGTCCAAGCACAGCCTTGTCTGTGTGACCTGAGCAGCTGTGTTATGCTCACACCCAGATTTAAACATCTCCACCTCGGAGGAGACCGTGTTTCTGGAGACATGGAATGTCCTGCCTGAAGGATCCAGTGATTCCGGTAAGCTCTTTTGAGGAATGTGACCAAGAGGTACACACAAAGTGCATCTGCCATGGTTCCACCAGAGGACCCCCAAAAGATATATCAGAGTCCTACCCTCTAGTACCCCAGAATGTGACCTTATTTGGAGATAGTCTTTAGAGAGGTCATCAAGTTAAAATGAGGTCATTGGTGAGGGCTCCAATTCAATGTGACTGGTGTCCTCATAAAGGGGAAACACGGACACAGACAAACACCCACGCACACAGGGAGAAGACCTTATGAACATGAAGGCAGAGACTGGGGTGATGCAGTACCTTCTGGCCAAGGCACACCACAGTTTGCCAGCAAACCACCAGAAGCTCGGGGAGAGGCAGGAACAGCGTCTCTGTCACAGCCCTCAGAAGGAACCAACCCTACCAACCCCTTTATCTCGGACGTCTAGTCTCCAGAACTAGACACAATAAATTCCTGTTCCTCTAAGACACCTGGTTCATGCTGTTTTGTTACGGCAGGTCTAGCAAGCGAATACACCAGGAATGGGCTCACACGATTGTGAGGCTGACTAAGCAAGTCAATCCAGAGGGTAGTCAGCGAGGGAAGCTCACGGGACACGGGCATCCTGCAGGTGTGGGCTGAAGCCATTCTCCATAGGCAGAACGACTGGCCAGGGTGCTCTTCCTTACCTAAAGTCAACTGATTAGGGACTGTCATCACCTCTGCAAAATCCCTTCGCAGCCACATCTCCATTCTGTTTGATCGAATAACGGGGCTACAGCCTGGCCAGGTTGACACAGCAAAAAATCCATCACCTAGAGCTCTATGGGCTGTGGTCATCGTCCCTTTTGCTCAAAGCAACACAAATAGCCCAATCATAGACCTTCCTCCGAAAGCATCACTGGGCTTCAGCTTCGTCAGCTGAAAAATGGAGTGCTGCTTTAAATTCGAAGTCAGGACTTTTTAAGTGCATGGCATCGTGAACACAATGTTTTTTGTCCTTTCGGAATGCACTGATTGTACCACAGGGTGCTGTGGTATAGGGGAAGAACGCGAGGCTGGATGCAGAAACGTGGGCGTGCATCCCAGCTTTGCTCTTCTCAAGCCACGTGCTCGTGGGTAAGGCATGGGCGCTCTCTGAGGTTCTTTCTCCAAACCAAAGCGGTTGTAAAAGGATCACAACAATTTCAGAGGGACATGTTCCATTATGAGACATGTTCTGTAGACTCCACAGTTCTGTGAAAATCAAGGTTTTATAATTACTCTCTGAATGAAGGCTTGAGCCCAGTTTGCTCTTTTTTTTTTTTTTTTTAAATCCTCACCCAAGGATATTTTTACATTTATCTTCAGATAGAGTGGGAGGGAGAGAAAGGGAGACAGAGACAAACATTGACGGGAGAGAGATATTTCGAGTGACTGCCTCCAAGGTACGTGCCGTTGGCCAGAATCGAACCCGTGACTCATTGGTCTGCAGGCCGATGCTCTACCGCCGAACCAAACTGGCCAGGGTAGTTTGCTCTATCTTAACTTGTTCATACTTAAAAACACAAAAAAACAAAGAAACAAAAAACACGTAAATTGTTTTCACAAACAAAACTCTCTTTGAAAACCTTCTGCTTTTGTTGCTATGAGTGACAAGGAAGCAAAGGCTGGGGCCAGGTGGGGAATAACCCAAGTCCCAGATGTATTCAAGTAGGAGGTAGGACCACTTCCTTCATTTCTTTCTTCTGGATGCGTCCCCCTGCTCCCCTTCCTGGGGGCCAGCCTCTCTCCTGCTGCAGGTCTGCGGCCCCCCGGGCTGGCAGCCACACCTCATCCGTGCAGGTGGAACTTCCCCCTGGAAAGCTGCCCCACTCACTTCCTGTTGTCTCCACAGCCCACGCTGTGAACTCACAATCGCTACCTTCTGGAGGCTCTACCCAGCCCCTGCCACAACAGATGCTGTTTGGGAAGAGTTGAAGCAACTGCTATAAATATTGGTGGGGAGCTTGACTAACATCACTGGCGTAGCTCTGCAGACATAGCTGCTCAGGAAGGATTCCCCGGGTGTGGGAGGGGTGGTGGGACCAGGACTCTGCCAGCTGTTCTGACTTTTCCCAAACACGGTTTCTGGCAGATTCTTGTCACTCCCAGTGTCTCGAGCCTCTTGCCTCTGTACAGTCTTCCTCCATCAGGCCCAGGTGAGCCTCAGTGCCAGGGGCGTGCCAGGCTTTCCATGCCACATTCCTGTCATACAGGTTGAGGTTGAAGACATTCCAGAAAGGGGCATGTTGCCTTTGCTCTATGCCCTCTGCAGTGCTCAGTGGGGGGATTCTGAGCAGTATCAACATACTTTATTATTATTATTTTCTTTTTTATCCTCACCTGAGGACATTTTCTTTTTTTTGCTCAGATAGAGTGGGAGGGAGAGAGAGGGAGAGAGAAACATAGACGCGAAAGGGACACATCGAGTGGCTGCCTCCCGCATGACCCAACCAGGGCTGGGGACAAACCGCAACCAAGGTAAGTGCCCTTAGCGGTAACCGAACCTGGGTCTCTCTGAACTGTAGGCCTATGCTCTAACTGCTGAGCCAAACTGGCCAGGGCAACATACTTTAGTTTAAAATCCTTGAAGGGGAAACTCCAAGAAATAGTCTGCACTGGTCACGGTGCTGGGTGCTTGGAGTGGGTAAGACGCTCCATCAATGTTCTCTCATAGTGCTCACCCCAATCAACTAGATTTGTCTGCTGACATCCTTATTTTTCAGGATAACATTTTTGCTCAATGCACAAAGGACAGGCCAGAGCCAGGGTGAAGAGGAAGGCATGGAGTGGGTGGGCACTCGTGTGGCCTGGCAGAGACAAAAAGCTGAAGAGGTGGCCAGGCAGCAGGAGGCTGCTGAGGGAGGCTGTTCACATGAGAAAAGAGACCCATAGTTACAGCACCAAGAGCATCAGAACCAGAGGGCAGGGGCACCCCCTGGCTCCTCTGGTCCCAGTCACAGAAAATATGTTTTTGGAATAAATCCAAGGAAAAACAAGCCCTAAGAGACAAAAAAACATCATTCATTAGCTCCCCATTGCTGCTGTAACAAATGACCATAAATGTTCTGGCTTTAAAAAGCACAGATTTATTCTCTTCTAGCTCTGGAAGCTGGAAGAATAAAATCAGTTTCACTGGGCTAAGGGGTGGTGGTGGTGGCGCTGGTTCCTTCAAAGGCTCTGAGGGAAAATCTTTCCTCTTGCCTTTTACAGCTTTGGGTGGCTGCTGGCATTCCTTGGCTTATAGCCCCTTCTCCATCTTCAAAGCTCATCACTTTGCTGCTTCTTCCATCACGCTGCCTTCTTCTCTGTCCCCTTCTACATCCTTCTTACAAGGAATATTGTGATGTTGGGCCCACCAGACAACCCAGGACAGTCGTCCCATCTCAAGCTCTTTAACTTAATCACAGCTTTTGCCACGTAAGGCAGCATTCACAGGTTCTGGGAATTAAAATGTGGGTATATTTGGGGCTGGGCGTGGCATTATAACACAAGTTAGGCTGAACAGCCAGCACCTAAGAGGTTGTCATTTGTTGAAGGGGTAAAATGAAAATAAATCATTTTCAAGGTAAAAAAAAAAAAAAAAAAAAAAAAAAACACTAATAAAAAGTCCAAACAACTTGGGCATTGTTTAGAGAGCAAATGCTCATGAAGCGTCAACTTGATCTGGGCGTCGGTTCCCCAGGGGCGTCCCAGCAGTGAGGGAGGCTAGGTACTGCGCGCGGAGGAGCTGTCCTGTGGGGGGCGGAGTCTCTCTATGCTTAAACAGCAACCACAGGTGTTCATTCTTTCTTTTCTTCCAGCAAACTCTTGCTGAGGGCCTGCTCTTTGCCAGGCCCTATAACCAAGCTGGTCATTTAGAGAATGGGAGGTGCCCATAGTAAATTTCAGGGGATTCATAGAAGATGAGCCAAAATCCAGGCAACACACATATAAAGTGTGTAGGAGTGCTGAGGAGAGAGGGGATGCTCTGCCTTCTCAAAATTACTGGGAGCCCAGATAATGCCTGCCTTTTATCCTCCTCTAACATTAATAAAGGAGGAGGTGCCATCTGCCTCCCTGGGAACATGGAGGGACTGTGCAGGGCTAATGAGAAGGGAGAATGGAGGGAAGAGGCATACCACTAAGAAAGCCACAGGAACAGGAGAAGCGACTATGAATCCCAAAAGCAAGAGTAAAGACTTTTGAGTAATTTAAAGGAAATAAGGTTTAGTCATTCATTCATGCAATAAATATTTATTGAGCATGTGCTAAATGCCAAACACTATTCCACCTGGCATGCAGCAGGGGTTGAAACAGATAAAGGAAGCCCTGTCCTCCTGGAGCTTACATTATAGTGGAGAGAAGAAGACAGTGAACAAGTAGGTAAGGTATGTATCATCTGGTGATATGTCTTACAGAACCAGCATAGAGTACTGATGGAAAGGATTGTTCCTTTCTTTAGTATTTATGGAGCACCTACCATGTGCCAAGCAGTGTGCTCAGTGCTGCAGGGCAGAGATGAATCCATCATGACAGTCACTGTGCTAAGCCCAGGGGAAACAAGGTCTCTGCCTCCTCGTAGAACTTCCAGACAAATGTGAAAATCAGTTTTTTAATGATTGAATATTCAAGATGTACAATTATATACTGAAGTTAAAGCTATGACTAGAATGTAATGTATATATCTACTTAAATTGGGGGACAGGAGCAGGCATCTCTGGGAAAGTGATATTTGAGCTGAGAATCAGTGAATGTATAAGAGTGGAAGATATAAATACTTGTTATAAACTATTATAAATGAGAACAGTATGGTACTGCCACAAGAGTTGAGCAACTAGCTCAATGTAAGAGAACAGAGAGGACAGAACCAGATTCATACATTTATGAAAACTGATATATGACAGGGATGGCATTTACAGGTTAGTGGCCTGGTATAAGCAATTCAAAAAATGTTACCAAGACATTATTCACATGGAAACAATTAAATTGGATTCCTGCTTCACATCATATACAGAATTCAGTTTCAAGTGGTTGAAAGACTTAAACATAAAAAAAAACAACTTTAAATCTTGTCAGAGAAAATATAAAATCTCTTTATAAACTTGAGTAGAAATAGGCAAGTCACAAAAAACATTGACCATAAAAGCAAAAGATTGAAAATTAAAATATTTGACTACATTGCAATTATAAACTTCCAGTCATCAAAATACATCCAGGGAGAGAGAGAAGAGGGAAGAGAGAAGAGGAAAAACAAACAACAACAACAAAAAAAAAAACAAGAAAGGTAAAATTATTGCAAACTGGGAGAAAACGTTTGTAACTCACATGACTACCAAAGAAGTGGTCTCTAAAATATATACGACTCCTAAAAATCAGTAAGAAAATACAACTCAGTAGAAAAATGGGTAAAAATCATGAGCATTTTTTTTTTCCAGAAAAAGAAACTCCAGGGAAATAAGCATATGAAAGATATTCAACCACCACAATGACTTTAGGTTCACAGGCCATCACTTTACACTGATTATATTGGCAAAAATTAAGCTATCTGACAATAGCATCCTGGCACCTGCAGGTGTTAGGGGAGGTGTCCATTACACATGGGCCTGTGGTGGTGTGTCTGTGGGGTGGGGAGTAGGTTAATGGGAAGGGAATCTATTGCTTGGCTTCTGTTTCATCCAGGACCAGGAGGCAGGGATTTACCTTTGCACCAGCAGTGGGAGAACTGATGGAGGAGGAGGGTCAGCAAGGTTCTCAAATATACTGTGAAGAACCCCCATAACCGTCATGCCTACCATTCTGCCTCCCATTGGTCTAGTGTTGGGTACCTGTCATCTCTGACTCCCAATAATAAATGAATGCATGAGCACTTTGAGGGAATCTTTTTTAACCCAAACACACACACACACACACACACACACACACACACACACACACACACCTCACCTCTGCAAACACCTTGCCCTGGACCAGGCTCAGAGTAGGATGATTAGAGGATAGATAGATAGATAGATAGATAGATAGATAGATAGATAGATAGGGATAGATGCTCTTAGAATGGGCCTACATTCCCATTTCCTTTACCAGCACCCCTTCCCTCCCACTCAGACGTCCAACCTCCCTCCAGCCTTGCCGCAATTGACACCAGCCGACCGGGGGGCTCTCCATCCGGGCAGCTCAGAGTGCGCAGGGAGAGGACCAGGATGGAGAGGGGCCACATAACAAATAATGGATGTTTCACTAGGAACGAGGAGCTCTGGACCAGCCTCCTCCAGCAGGGGAAGCCCCTGGACTCGCGACCCTGGCGCCGGGCAGGAGCAGAGCCAGAGTCACGCGAGAAAGAACCTCCCAACGCCGGCCCCTCGGGCCGGCAGGTGGGGGCCTCGGAGGAGCGGGCGCGCGTGGTCAGGCCCAGCCCTCCGCGTCGCCGTACCTGCCCGCCAGGCGCTGCCGTCGGTCGGCCGGCCGAGCTGCAGGTCGGAGGCCCCGAGTCAGCGGGCCCGCGGGGCGGGGAGGCGCGCACGGCCCTCCAGCCGGCCCCACTTCAACATGTTCGGCGACTCATTGCGGGTGGGCTCCCAGGGCAAGGCAGCTCGGCGGGAAGGGGCCGCGAAGTCCGATGGCGCCCTGGAGTGGGAATGGGGACCGGGAGCGGCTGGGAGGCGACGTCAGCCGCGGGCAGGACGGGGCGGGAGCCGAGGGGCCGGGCGGGCGGCGGGGCCACGCCGTCAGCAGCCGATGCGGGGCCGGCGAGGGCGCGGTGCGTGCGGGCGGGCTGCGGGCGCCCGGCCTGGGAAGCGGGCAGGCGGACCTCTCGGGAGGCGGCCGGGGCAGCCTGGCGGGTCGGGAACTGAGCAGGCAGGCCTTTTGGGGCGCAGGGCGGAGTTGGAGGCTGGCCTGGCCGGCCGCGGACAGGTGAGTGCTCAGGCTCTTTCTCCTGCCTTGGAGGGTGTTGGTATGTCCCGAGGAGCTCAGGTAATGGAGCATCCCCAAATCAGAAGCACCCGCCCCCCCTCCCCATCCCTAGCCTAAACTGGTGCAAGGAGTCCTGGGCGAAGTGAGCCCTCCCCTGCCTAGCTCTCAGCCACAATCCCCTCTGGAGGGTGCTACACCCAATCTCCCTCTCTGTTTCTGTTCTTTGGGCGCTGGGGCCTTCATTCCAAATTGTGTGTTGGAAGCAATGCCATCACCCCCTCCACCTCCAAGGAGGGGACTCCCAGGGCTTGCACCCTTGGCTGTAGCCGGGATGGAGACAGATGGACAGAAAAGCCCTGGTGACATTAGCACTCCCGTGCCATCTGTTTGGCATGGTTCAGGAAGCCTGAAACATCCTGCCTTGTCTGACCTGCAGCTGACCCCATCCCTCCTGGGATCCCCCAAAGACTCAGCCTGTTTTCTCTTCCAGCACGTTGGCCTCTGCCCAGTTTCTTTCAGGCACAGCCCAGCTTCTGTGTCTTGGGTGTGGAGAAGGTCCCTCTGTGCCTGAGAACTGTCCTGCCCAGGGCAGGCAGGACCTGAGGTGCCTGCTTACTTTGTGTCTGGATAGGACCCATCCCTGATCCTTGCCTTCACTGTTATTGGGGTCACGATAGCTCTCTTGGCCCTGAAGAACATGAACTCCAGGAGGAGACAACTTGTTATCACCTTAAAGAACCCTGAAACCAAGTATCTGCTGTCCTTGATTGAGAAAGAGGTAATGGGTCAGCCCACTGTCAGCAGGTAAAAGTTGTGGGGAAGGTGCTGGGCTGGGAAGGCAGGGCAGTGGGACAGACATCCATGGCCTCCAGTGTGCTCCCCTCTGCCACTGTGTGTGCGTGCACGCTGGGAAAACACCAAATGGAGCTTCTTTCCCAGGCACGAGCTACCCATCAAGACTTCCAGAAAGCTGACAGAGCCTGCCTTTGTTTTCTGTTTTATTAGCAAATCAGCCACAACACCAGGAGGTTCCGCTTTGCACTGCCCTCATCAGACCATGTTTTAGGCCTTCCTATAGGTGAGTGGTGTTTGGTTTCATTCCCAGGACTGGGTGATGAAGCTCAGAAACTGAGAAACTCAGCTGGAGTATAGAAGTTTCAGTTGTCCTGAAACACATGAGCTCAGAGTGGCTGGAAGACGGGCTTGGGGACAGCCCATTCCCTTCCTCCCTGCTCGATCCAGGCTGACACAGAAGTGATCGCTCAGCGACCATGGAAAGGAGTCTAGAATCAGAAAGCTCCAAGATCTTATCGCAGGCTCCTAGTTGGGCAACTTTAGGCAAATCCCTCAACCCGTCTGAATTCAGACTATGAACTGGGATTTTCCAGGCCTGTGGCCTCTTAGTTTGTTGTGAGGATAAAGTGACTCATGGATATCAAAATTCAGAAACTGCAAATTGCTGTCTGCACATGGGAAGGATGAAAGGAATTGATGCTCCCCTACAGCAGAGGCGAGGAAGGGGGATGTCTGGCCTGAGGGCCTGCGAAATCAATACCAGCTAACATCACACGCCTCACCAAATTGGCCTAACCAAATATAGCAGGCTAATTTTTAAGCTGATAATTTTGTATGGCCCATGATAATATTATATCTTAATGGCCCTTGGCTAAAAAAAGATTCCCCACCTCTACCCTACAGTCAGGAAGAAATCAGGGGCCCCTCGTCCCACCACATGAATTCTCAACAGGGGCTTCAGACCCATGCAAGGATGCACCATTGTAAACATCAGCCCTAGCAATCCCAGAGTTCTTAGTTATCCCAATTTTAGTCTGTAACTAAAGGGCTTAGTCAGTCTTAGTGAGCTGGAAAACCTCTGCCAGGTCCACAGCCTAGGAATTCAGAACTTTGTACAAATAGCTAATGCTGCTTGCCTGCCTGGTGGAGATCTCATCCATGGCCTGCTTGTCCTGTGCACGTGGGACAAAACCTTGACCTCACTTCTAGCAGGTGTTGAAATTACCCATTAAGCAGCCAGCCTGACCCCTCAGCCTCCTGGCTGCTTCCTGTCTCTGTCTTCATCCATGAGCACTCCAGTGGTGGCCTGCCCTCTGGCCCTCTGCCTGGCCTGTGGGGCCAGTCCTATTAGCAAGAAAGCTAAAAGAATGAAAAACATCGAGAAATAGAATGTCGTAGAATCTGTCATGACACCCTGTCCTCATCCCTGGTGTAGGCAGTGCAGAGTTAGTGGGGCAAGGTGGTTTAGGGGGTTCAGTGAGCTCAGAGACTGCTGATGCTTCCCAGCTTAGCTGAAATGAAATTGGTTTGAGGTGGGACCTGGGGGATCAGCTTGGGCCCCTCATTTTCTCTGAGGAGGCCAGGCCCAGGTTGGCTGCATCTGAAAGAGCCTTTTAAAAAAAAATTTTTTTTTTAATTTATTTTTTAATTAATTAATTTATTTTTATTACAGATGTTTCTCCCCCCACTTCCCATCACCCTCCTCCCTAACCTGCCCCCCATGAAAGAGCCTTTTTAAGGTTTCTAGTTTTCAGAAGGAAGCTGCCTCGGGTTTTTATTCCTGGGTATCCCTGGTTCCCAGCCAGGCCATAGTCAGTCATTGAGCCTGTCCCTTCTTAACCCAACGTGTTTGTGCCTCAGGCCTTCTCAGAGACTTTGGTTTATATTCCTGAAGCTACTGGAAGGACTGGTCCCTCCAGTGTCCTTCTCCTCCTCCTCTTCCTCCTCCTCCTCCTCCTCCTCCTCCTTCCCCCCCCCCACTCTCTCTCTCTCTCTCTCTCTCTGCAGGTCTCTACCTCTGTCTACAAATCCATTCATCTTTTCTGTACATACAGTTTCTACTCCCTCAGATACTCTGGCACAGAGCTTCCTCTTGCCTCTGTCTCTTAGCATCTCTTTACTGCCGCTTTTGTTCTCACCACTAACTGCCTTAGTTACTGAGGTCTCCCATGTTAGACCCAGCAGAAATATGAATGGCCCAGCCCATCGTGTGGCCACAGCGGGTCCATTCAGTTCTATCCTGGAGGGGCAGAATTACATGTTCCGAACTTCACTGCTGCCCCTCCGCAGAGCCATCACCCAGGGAAACACAGTACTCTTTCTAGAAGTCCTCGTCTGCAGGTGTCCAGATCCTGGGGCCCCGCATACCTGTGAGCCTGGCTCAGGTTACAGAGGAGAGGCTGCGATTCATTCACTGACCCCAGGGATGCATTCCATTTAGGAAGGAATGACTTTGTGAAGGCAACAGATTTTGCTTTAAAAAGGAAACACTCCTTCCTATAATTTTTAATACTCAGCCTCCAACAGTGAGCTCTTCCTGCTCCCCAGAGTACTTTGACACAGTAAGCCCACACTAACTGTAGCTTTTCTGTAAGTGAGGCTGACAGCTACACTCTGATGGGGGCAGGGCACTCACCGAGAGAGATGAGGTTGACTTGCCCAGGGTCATACATGGAGTGACAAGGACAGGCCTAGGATTCAGACATCTGAATTTGGGCTCCTTCCCTGCTTGGCCCTCCTCCCATGTACTCTACCACACTGTGCACCCACCTCCCCGAAGCTCAGTCCTTTAGGGGAGTCCTAAGCCCTGTTTAGGCTGGTCATGCTGACTTGACGTTTGTTGCCTTTTCTGTAGGTAACTATATCCATCTCATGGCCAACATCGATGGTGTTCTGGTGATCAGGGCATACACACCTGTGTCCAGTGATGATGATCGAGGCTTTGTGGACTTAATTATAAAGGTAAATGAGACCCTCATGTCCTGCTGTCTCACCCTCACAAGCCTATTAAGGGGGTGGGGGGGAGAAGGGACACCCTTCCTGGACAGTGTCATTTCACAGTGAAGTTATTGACCTGGTGAAACCTTCAGGGGCTGCTCAGAGCAACCGCAAGTGCAGAGCATTTTGCACGATTCCCAACGGCAAGTGCAGTTTTGAGTTCTGCATGATGGCGGCCTCGGGTCTGAGGCTGGGAAAACCATGCTGCCTTATTTTTCAGATCTACTTCAGAAACGCACACCCTAATTATCCAGAAGGAGGGAAGATGTCTCAATACTTGGAGAACATGAAAATTGGGGACACCATTCTTTGTCGAGGGCCATCTGGGCGCCTCTTCTATCGTGGGCCAGGTACTGGGGGGTCCACACTGGGCCTCCCACCAGGGGGAAGATCCCTGCGGTGGTTCCATTGTTCTAGAAAACTCAGATCTGAGTCACATGGACTTGTCCTTAAAGTCACCATACATGCATTCACATACCATCTCACGAGACTGTACGCACCATTAAGGTAGAGTGATCGGTGTTTCTTCATCACTGTATCTGCAGCACAACACCTGATACACAAAAGGTAACCTTCTAATGCTGAAAACATGGGTGGAGTCCACACTCAGCCATGTACTCACACATTCACCCTTCACTCGCTCACTGCTGCGGGTGCGAGTGCTCTGTGAGGCTCCCTGTCCACTCCCGCGTAACCTCCCTCCTTCCTTAGCGGAAAAGATCCAGTGGTTCCCCGTGGAGGCCCAGGCTCTGTTCCACTCTGTGCACGGTCTGGCCAAGGAGGTCCCCTGGTTGACTTGCCTCCGGGAAGCCCCAAGGACAGTCAGTGCTGTTTTGCATGCTCTCAGGTCAGAACTCGAAGTCAGCAGTATCCTCTGTGTTTTCAGGGAAGTTGTCCATCAAAGCGTACAAAACGAGTAAGCCTGAAGAAAAACTGGCCAGTCACCTGGGAATGATTGCTGGGGGCACAGGTAAGAGGCTTCTGGGGGATTCATCCATAGATGAGCCCTGAGCCCTTTCTGACCTTAGAGTCCTTTGATCCTAGAAGGGCTGATGTGGGAGATTCGTCCCCTGGCTGTTTCAGATGGGATTGGAGGGTCAGTGATAGGCCTTGCAACTACCCTGTGTGCCCTGCTCCCCTTCACTAACATGGCAGCTGCCCAGGAGCCCTGGTGGAGGGGGCCTCAAAAGTCAGGCAGGCCCACACATGGTCCCCCAAGGACTCCTGCCTTCAGTTCAAGCCTGACCCCCCCCCCCCCATTTTTTGAAAATGAATGCCTGAAAGGATAGAACAAACATTTAAGGAGACCTACAACTTGCAGGCACCATAATAGGTACTTCTAAAACTATCACATTTACTCATCACTAATTCTGTGTTACAAACGAGGACCCCGAAGAGCTCAGACAAGTGCTTGAATCACCCTGATCAGGTAGTTAGGGAGCTGGGCGTGACACCCACTTCCAAAATCAAAGCCAACGCTCCTTCCATCTTGCCATGTGTAGACAAAAAGGGCTTTTAATGTATTGTGGCATTAGAAGGGTAAACCGAAATGTAGGCCAGTTCCCCACTTTGAGTTTTGGGGGCAGAAGTAGACCTGGGGTCAAGCTGCTGCAGACCAGGGGCTGTGGGCATCCGAGGGAAAGCTGGCTGCCCGGCACTGTTGCAGGGATCACACCCATGCTGCAGCTCATCCGCCACATCACCAAGAACCCCAGGGACAAGACCAGGATGTCCCTCATCTTTGCCAACCAGGTCAGTTCTGCTCCGGCAGCCGGAGTGTGCAGGGGTGGGGGTGGGGGATGCTTGCTGAGCAGGGCTCTGGATCCACTCCTCCCCCACGGAGCTCCTGCTGCTTGGGCGCCTGCGCCTTGGGGGGGGGGGGGCAGTGGGCTCAGCCCTGGCTGCTGGTGGCTAGAAGCTGAGTCCAGGCCTGTTTCTCCATTGTTTTTTAACTCTTTTCTCCCCAACCAACCCTAAGCACTATATTTTCCTTCCTTCCTTAGTACATAGTTCTGTTTATCTGAGTATAGCAGCCCTCAAAGCAAATTTGGAAAACACAAAAGCATATAAATATTTGACTTAGGTTTGTCTCTTTTCTCTACATGCTATATACTTACAATTACATATAGTTTTGTTCTTTTTGGTCAACATTACTGTACATTTTCTTTTCATTAAAACTCTGTAAGTATTTTCAACACAGTCTATATCAAGTTGTACCATAAATCTTCTACATTTAGGTTGTTTTCAGTTATAAATGACAGTGATGAATAATTGTTTCTAGACTTGATCACTTTTAGATTTTCTTAAACAGAACCCCAGACGTGGGATTATTAGGACGAGAATTATAGAGTTTTAAGATTGAGGTCTCCTGTGCAGTTCCTCTGAGCCTGTGACAGTTTCTTCAGGCTTTGGCTCCCTTTCCCCAATGAGGCTCCAGCCTTTGGTTTTCCCTCCGTGAGCTCCATAGCCCCGCCCACTTCCTGCAGAAGACCCTGGGCCCACACTAAGCCTGTTTCAGTTGGGTTTGCTGCGCCTGGTGCTCAGTGTGGATGTAGGAGGTGGGGCTGGGACCTCTTAGGGAAGCCAGTCCCCCAGCTCTTCCACCCACGGGAGAGGGATGTTGGGGGGAGCAGCATCAGAACTCTCACTGGCCCCGGAGTCTGCGGGGAGCACGCCAGCTAGAGCAGCGGCAGCTTGGGCGGAACGTGCTAACCCGTGTGCTCGGTTTGGGGAATAAGCAGGAAGTCACTGGGGGAGCCTGGCTCATGTTGCTGCTTTTCTAGACAGAGGACGACATCTTGATGAGAAAGGAGCTTGAAGAAGTTGCCAAAACTCACCCAGAGCAGTTCAGCCTGTGGTACACCCTGGACCGGCCTCCTGCTGGTACGAACACCATGCCCCCACCATGGGTCAGCTCCAACCCTGGACCCACCTCAGGGACTAGATCCTGTGTGTGTGTGTGTGTGTGTGTGTGTGTGTGTGTGTTAGGACTGGGCTTGGGCTCTGTCTCCTGAGGGAAATTCAGGAAGTTGAAGGAGAGAGGATTTGAGATGGGCTACTTGTACAGGTAGTCAAGGGCAGGTGTCTGAGATCTCAGCAGCACTCCCCAGGACACAGCACTGACTGTCAGGAGGGACACTGAGCCACTGGGCTCCCCTGAACACGGCACTCCCACTGGGCTCCCCTGAACACGGCACCCCCACATGGCACTCCACAAGCATCCCAGGGGGCATCACATACACTGCACTGATACAGCCATCGACCCCGTCACCCCTCACCCCACTGGATAACAGTGCACACCACACCCTCAAGCCCCCTCTCCCACAAGGCAAGGAGCTGTGTCTGCCTTGTTATACAGCTCACTGCCCAGCAGAGGGAGCCACCCAACTGAGCCAGTCCACAGACCCCGCGACACACTGCCCTGCACAGCCCAGGGGCTGCCTTGAGTCACACGGCACCTTGGCAGGTCCCACTCACTGCCCCGTCCTGTGTCCTCCGTCCTCCATCCTCACCCGCGCTTGTAGCAGGCAGACTCCTGCCACGAGCCTCCGAGCCTGGGGTCTGGAGTTCATCGAACAGGGTGCCTGGGCGCCCTGCATCCTCTCCTTTGCAGCTCTGCAGAGAACAGTAGCACACACTTCTGAGTCTTGGAGAGCGGCTTCGCCTCCCTCTCCCTGGCTTTAGGGAGGGACAGCAAGAGGCCAGGGGTCAGAGACTCAACCTGGCACCTCCACAACTTGCTTCTGCTTCACCCCAGGCTGGAAGTACAGCTCAGGCTTCATCACCGCGGACATGATCAAGGAGCACCTCCCTGCTCCTGGGAAGTCCACCTTCATCCTGGTGTGTGGCCCGCCAGCCCTGATCCAGTCCGCCGCTCACCCGAGCCTGGAGCAACTGGGCTATACCAACGACATGGTCTTCACCTACTAACACGGCTGACTTGGCACTCTCCCCGAGTTCCTCGCATCTGTCCCAAAGCCGTTCGGTGTCACCACGTTCCAAGTGCCTCAGTGCACCTTGGGCACGCTGCTGCTCCCCTTTTGGGTGGCTCAGAGGGTGAAAGGGGCTGAAGACCAAGTGTCTTCTGGAGTCTCCTTGCTTGGGGAGCTGGAAGGGACTCCATGTTAGCATCTTTTCCCGTGGCTTAGTGAAATAAACTTCAGTACAAAGCAGAAAGCCCATGAGGTGCGGCTCTGTGGGGGACCCGCTAGGTGCTCAGAGGCCTTGGCTGCCCTACTTGTGTGCTGTGGGAGGTCAGAATGGCAAGTCTGCCGGGGCAGAACTGTGGAAGAATCCAAGTGGGGTCTGTCAACTCCCAAAATCTTTGTTGCCCCTCCCGTCCTCCCCCAAACATAGTGTTTTGTTGTGAAGGTCAGACCTACAGGAGGGCTCAGGCTCCCTGCATGAGCTCTCCTCCTCCTCTTGTAGGAGACCCTTGAACCGTGTTAAAAACACGCATCAGGGCCATAGGTGAACCCACAGGGTAGGGCTCCAGGAAGCCTGGAGCTAAGGGGAGCTAGCACCCTCTGATGGCCCTGTTCTGGTGGGACAGGGGGCTAGGGCGGTTACAGACAGCAGCTTTTTTTTTTTTTTTTTTTTTGTGGTCCATAACCCTAGCGGAAACTGAACCTGGGACTCTCTGGTCCACAGGCCGGCGCTCAGCCGCTGAGCCAAACTAGCCAGGGCAAGACAGCAGCTTTAGAACTTGCAAACGAAATAGGTTGCAGAGCTGTTCCTTAAATCCCCATATCATTCGACCCAAAGGCTACAAGCAACCACTCTTGCCACCTGCTGCTCATGGCCAGGGTGACATGCTGCTGCTCCATTACCCGTGAGTGGGTGGAGCCCCTTCTGCGCTTGATTTTGTATGATTCTCACAACAAGACAGAGATTCTGTGGAGATTTTGTTTTTCAAGTTGTAGATGAAGAGAAAACCAAGCCTCAGAGACAAAGTTGTTGTCCCCGGTCATTCAGCCTGGAGGTGGCAGAGCTGGGCTTCAAACCCAGGTCTGTCTAATTCCCAGTCACTCCTTCCTTCCCTTTTTTTAATCTTCACCTGAGGACACTTTTGCATTTATCTTCAGATAGAGTGGGAGGGAGAGAGGGAGGAAGAGAGAGAGAAACATTGATGTGAGAGAGACACATCGAGTGGCTGCCACCCACAAGACCCCAACCGGGGCCGGGGACAAACAGCAACCGAGGTACGTGCCCTTATCAGGAATCGAACCCAGGACTCTGCAGTCTGCGGGCCGATGCTCTAACCGCTAAGCCAAACTGGCCAGGGCTTCCTTCCCTTTTTAGCATAGTAGCAGTGTTGCTAAACCTTGGTGTCACTGAATTTCTTATTCAACATATATGAGGGTACGGTAGGGGGAGAGAGGGGAGGGACTCTGGGGGAGAGGAACACAGCTTTAAAGAACACTGTAGTATCGCTGGGTGGTGCCCACAGGGTGGCCTCACAGAGGGCGGGTGGGGTGGGGTGGGGTGCTGGGAGGCAGCCAGCCTCCATCCCTCCATGTGTTCAGCGCACCGTCAGTGAATCCCCTCCTCCGAGGAAGATACTTTGCTGGACACTGTGTGGTGAGTAAGAGCCTGCTCTCAGATGTTGTTCTTCACACATATATTATCGTGCTTGTCTCCTGCTTTGACCTCTTACTTTCACTAGTCCCCACCTGGCCACCCTGGGTCTGCAGGAAAAATTCCAGGGGCCTGGCTTACAGGGTCTTTCCTGATTTGGCTCCAGCCGACCTCACTGGATTTCTCCTTCCCTGGGCCTCCCACACAAATCCGATTCTCTGGCTGATCATTTCTCAACTAGAGGGGATCTTCCCCCCCAGGGAACATTTGGCCAGGTCCCGAGACACTTTTTGTTGTCATGAGAGAAGAGGTGTTAGTGGCATCTAGAGGGAGAGCATGAGGGTGCTGCTCAGCATCCCACAGCACACAGGACTGCCCCAGGGCACTGAGCTATCCCCAGCACACAGGACAGGACCATCCCCAGGGCACTGAGCTATCCCCAGTACACAGGACTGCCCCAGGGCACTGAGCTATCCCCAGCACACAGGACAGGACCATCCCCAGGGCACTGAGCTATCCCCAGTACACAGGACTGCCCCAGGGCACTGAGCTATCCCCAGCACACAGGACTGCCCCAGGGCACTGAGCTATCCCCAGCACACAGGACTGCCCCAGGGCACTGAGCTATCCCCAGCACACAGGACTGCACCAGGGCACTGAGCTATCCCCAGCACACAGGACAGGACCATCCCCAGGGCACTGAGCTATCCCCAGGCACACAGGACCACCCATAGGACACTGAGCTATCCCCAGCACACAGGACCACCCCCAGGGCACTGAGCTATCCCCAGCACACAGGACAGGACCTCCCCCAGGGCACTGAGCTATCCCCAGCACACAGGACAGGACCTCCCCCAGGGCACTGAGCTATCCCCAGCACCAGGACCGCCCCCAGGGCACAGAGCTATCCCCAGCACACAGGACAGGACCTCCCCCAGGGCACTGAGCTATCCCCAGCACACAGGACCGCCCCCAGGGCATTGAGCTGGCCAGCCCCAAAGGACAACAGTGTGGAGGTGGAAAATCTCTGCTCTCCTCACACGGACTTCCCAGGATGTGCAGAGATGTTTCAAGTCCATCTGTCTGGCATGCCTTTCCCCTTGGCATGACTGGGGAACCTGCTCCATTTTTCAAACTTCAAGCTTCACCTCTTCCTTGGAGCCTCTTGGTCCCAGCCCCCTGCCTAGCCCTCCACTCTACGTGACAGTTTGCTGTTGGGGTTGTAGAGATGTCTCCTGGATCACCCGTGACAGCCGCATGCGCTCGTCTGCGCAGAGCTGTGCTCTCTCATCAGGCCACCTGTGCCCCTGGCAAGGACCTTAGCGATCACGCCTGAACCTCTGGCCTCCTCAGCCCAGTGTGGATGGTACTTAACCTGCACACGTGGCGTGAGTGGGTGGGATCTCCCGAGCCCTGTGAGGACCAGATTGGGCCCACAGCGGGTGCTCAGTGAGTTTGTGTTGAGGGCGGGTATGGTGAGGGAGAAGGTGAGCCAGGAAGGGCTTGGGCTCAAGGGACACAGGGGCCTCCAACAGCAACCCCGGTGAAGGCTCCCTGAAGAGGCTGTCTTCTGGGTCTCAACAGGCAGGGTCTGGCCTTGTGACAGGGACTAGGAGATAATACACCCCGCAGGGAGGGAGAGACAGTCGGGTTCACAAAGGCTGAAGATCCCAGAGGGCCTTGGGTGTAGCTAAGGCCTTTGAACTCTAATCTGGGGTAAGTTTGGAGCCGAGGAGTTCTAAGGTAGTAAGGTAACAGGATTAAAACAGGGCTTTGGGAAGGTCTGGGGGTGGGGTAGAGAAGTCTGGAGGGGACCAGCTGGAAAGGTGAGGGACCAAGTAGGAGACCAGCTGTGGAAATCAGATGAGAGATGGGGCCTGAGCTAGAGCCAACACATGGGGAGACAGGGGGAGCCGGTCACCAAGGGGCAAGACGAGCTGGGAGGGGACGGTATGGCAGGGGCACAGTCGTCTCTCCTGAGGTAGGAGACACCTGAGGTTTACAGGCTTCTCTGGAAGGTGGAAAGTTGCTGTGAGCCTTCCACTGTGGGGAGCTGTCCCTCTGGGGGAAGCTATCCCTCTGGGGGGAGCTGTCCCACTGGAGGGAGCTATCCCTCTGGGGGGAGCTGTCCCACTGGAGGGAGCTGTCCCACTGCGGGGAGCTGTCCCTCTGGGGGGAGCTGTTCCACTGGGGGGGGGGCGCTGTTTGATCAGACAATTGATCTGAGGCTGAGGAGGGGAAGGCTGGAGGCTGTGTGCTGTGTTAGCTAGGGTGAGGGTGAGGGTGAGGGCCGGGACACATGTGTGTGTGTGTGTGTGTGCATGTGTCGGAGCCATCTCTGCTCGTCGCTGGGAGCCCAGCAGCCCTGGGACCCTGAGACATGCCTGTTCTGCTGACGAGGTAGATGGAGAGCAGCCAGGGCCGGGGAGGGGTTCTCCCTGCTCCCTTCCTGTTCTCACCCACAGTCCCCTCACCAGACCAAACTCCCGTGGGTGGGAACACATGCTTCTGTCTGTAGTATCACTTCACCCAGCTCAGTCACTACAGAACATTCAGAACCCTTTTCCAGCAGAGCTTTTATGAACTCAGTCCTGCCCCTTTGGTGTAAGGGCCTCCCAGCTGTCACCAGGATCAGCATGAGCCATGGAGTCTGCGCTGACATCTCGCCGCCCTCCCACAGAAGTGGTCTGCAGTCCCATATAAAAAAAAGTACAAAAGGTACAAAAGCCAAGCACAGCGCAGTTGAAAACGTAGGGGCGCTGGGGCCACCTCCTGGACATCTGTTCACAGCCCCACTTCCCTCCCATCGGCACCCACGTCCGAGATGCCCTGTCCACCTCCGTCTGGGCTCTGCTGTGGCTGGGTGCCAGCTCCCCACTGAGGCAAAGCCTCGGGGCCCCACACGTGCCTCTCCCAGCACTCTACTGTGAAGTCACCTCCAGTCCTCAGAGCCGGGAACAGCCAGGTGGGAGTCGTTCAGCATCTGGTCCTCGCTCAGCATGGTCTGGAAGGACACAATCGAAGGCGCAGTTGAACAGGGTCTGGGTCAAGGCTACCCTGTAGCAGCTACGTGGGAAGCAGTGGACACTGGGTGTGGCCCCGTTGGACACTAGTGCCCTATAAGCTCCTGGTGTCCCAGGACCCACGCATTGGTTGGGACAGCACTGTCGAGGCAATCGATTGCTCAGACCTCAGAGGCAAAGGTGCTACCTCAAGAAACCTATTGGAGGCGATAAGGGCAGAGCTGGGTGGGTTCATTTAGGTGTGTGAGCCAAGAAAAGAAGTGGAATAAAAATAATCCCACTTGGATGCAGGAAGATGCCCTCCTCCCTGGTCGTGCCCTTAGATACAGCCTTCTCAGTGTGTGTCTATAGAAGGACACGCCAAGGGCAGCGACAGTGGCCTCGACAGGACAGACGCACGTCCCGTGGGCTCAGTGATGTGCCAGTGTGAGAACTCCCAGGCCCTGGAATGTATGAAACTGTGGCCTCCCCTGTGGCAGCCTCCGCCAGCCTAGCCTGCCTGTGAGCCTTGAAAGCAGGTCTTGAGCCCCGCCGTGCAGATAACTGAGGCAGGGCTCGGGGTGAGAATGACTCGCCCAAGGTCCCAGCGCAGGGCTGGAGCCAGGCTGGCCTCACTCCTGGGCTGCTCCTCTCCTGGAGACCCTGCTGCCACCATGGTGTGGCTTGTCCTCAGTGGGCACGCCAGGGTGTGCTCATGTGACTTGATATCCATGACGTCAGAGGCATGATAGGAGATGTGTGCATCTCATGGGCAGAGAGGGTAGAACAGTGTCCACCCGGCCAGAGGTGAGGCTGGGCATTGGGCTGACCGGGCAGGTGACCCAGAGCCGCTGGGCATCTCAGTTTCCTCACCAGCTCTGGGCCTGGGAAGAGGACCTGAGACCCAGCACACTTTAGTTGGATTTTGCTCAAGGTCCATAACCCTCCCCAATACCCTGAACAGCTCAAGACCCGGCAGCAGGCCCATGGAGAAGGCCCCGCACCGCTGCTGCCTCAGAGCTGGCCCCAGCACCCAGCACCCAGCACCCAGCACCCTCCTTTGTTCTCGTCCAGCAGACGTGCTGATGACACAGGCTCTGGAGTAGGGAGAGGGCCGCCTCAGCCTTGTACTCCACCTCAGCAAACTCCTGGGGCCTCCCAGCACCTGTCCTATGTGGGGAGAGGGGCAGGGTCCTACCGTGAGGCGGTGAATGTCTTGGGAGAGGAGCCCTATTTGCGTCACAGTGCCTTCCGAAGGTGCCATCTGTAAAATGGGCAGCGGCCCAGTCAGCACACGTGGACTGCACTCATGATTCAGGGATGGCATGCAAGTCCCATCCAGCTCCGCATGCTCCCCGAGGGCCAGACAAGGAGTGGGCTGGGCCCTGGGAGTGACAGGTGGGCAGAGAGCATGCTGCCTCTGTCCCTGGGGAAGCGGACCCCCAGTGCCCACACTGCCATGCACACGCTCTCCTGGGTGCCCACCCCGGCGCCAGCTCGAAGGGCACAGACGGGGCCTGTCGGAAAGAGCCCTTTAGTATAAGTTCAATACTTTTTTCCAAAAGCAGAGATGAAGGCCGTCAGGATGCTGATGACACTGACCATTTCAGACACCACCAGGACCTCGGCACTGACACCCATGTATCAGGTGAGCACCCTCAGGGCCTGCTGGTGCAGCTTCCTCACCACCGGGACCTCCGTCCCTCCCCCTCCTGCCTCTCACCAGGTAATGCTGGCCCGCTCCTCCTCCCTGAAACCTAACTGGATGTTGTAAATTTGGATGCATTCTCTGAGGGCATCATGAATAACCCCTCATTTTATAGGAAGCTGGAAAACTGGGGCCCACGAAGGGAGAGAGGCCTTGCTCGAGGCTGCCAGAGAATCAGAAACAATGCCATGCACGGTCTGCAAACAGGCACACGCAGAGATGCCCGCACCAGGGTGTGATGCTAAGGGACAGAGCCTGCCCTGTGATCGACAACTGCAGTGCCCAGGTACCAGCTTCAAGGAACACCTGCATGCAGTGGTCCAGGCACTGGCATCGAACACCAGCCGTGCTGGCCGGCGAGCTTGTCCATCTCTCACTGGCCGGAAGTCAGGGGAGACCAGAGGCCATGGCCTCAGGTTATAGGTAATTTAGGAAACAAATCTGATCATTGGCTCCATCCGGGACAGAATCAGAGTGCCCTCAGTGGGGTCATGCGGCCCCATGCCACCAGTCAGTCACTAGGAGGCTGTTATGCTTCTGCGGATGAGGCCCCGGGGTAAGCTGGAATCTCATAAGCAGGAGCCCAGAGCAGAAGGCGTGTTTCTCTTGCAGTCCTTGGCCAGACAAAGCCTGTCTGGAAGACCCATTATCAGTTAGTCAGCCCCTAACTCAGGAGACAGGTCTGTTACGGCGCTGCCCACAGACAGACCAGCCCCCACGTGGTTACGGGCCCAGCGAGGTCGATAACAGAGAAGCTGGCAACACACATAAGAGAACAGAAAGTCCTTCCAGCGAGGCCGCCTTGTCTCCCCACCACCCCTTCCCTAGGTGGCTCATGCCACGGAATCGGAAACCAGCTTTGGGGTCTGCACGACAGGTGTGAGCTGCAGTCAGGACGTGTGTGAGCCACGAGGGAGGTGGAGCCTGAAGCCACAGGGCCACAGACCTCCCCTGAAGGATGTGGGAAGGGGTCCTTCCTTGCCCAACCCCCTGGCAGACCCTAAGTGCACACCTGGCAAAGGACCCGGTAGGGCCGCTGGCTCTCCAGCTGTGCAGGGAGCAGGCCCCCGTCTCCAGATGTGCTCAGCTCTTTTCCCCAACAAGATTAAAGAGATGGTGTACTGTTTGCTTTCTACATAAATATTGCTTTTATTACTAGAAAGAAGCGACCACCTCTGTCGTAAGGCGCAACATAGTTACACTGTCACTGCGGCAGAAAACCCTGCTGCTGTCCCTTTGATCTCAGCCACAGCGCTGTAGCCACAGGCCTAAGGCACTTGAGACGGCCCCACAGCTGCGGCCCAGCAGAGGGCTGAGAGCCGAGCCTCTGGCGGGTGGACGCAGCCTGGACCTGTGTCCGAGCGCGTGTGTTTCCACTGCAGCTGAGGATGGACATTAAGGATTACTCAAAATGTACAAACATCTTTAAGTATCTTTCCTCCTGAGTCCACCTTTGGCAACAGTTCCCAAAGTCTGGCCCTGAGCAAAGGTGTAACTCCACCCCCTCAGGATTCGGAGAGACTGGACCCCGGGGCGCGCGGTTGTGGACTGTTCTCTGCGCGGCATGCACACGTGCGGGTGAGAAGCAGCCGATACACGCGTGACGCACACGGTGTTACTGTGAGTTCTCAGGGTGCACGGAGGACAGGCGACGGGGCGTCAGCTGATCTGTCCCACCTGGTCCAGCCCGTCCACTTCGGGGGCATCGAGTGGGCTGAGGCCCCGGTAGCCACTGTAGACCCTGTCACCGACACTGTCACTGGGCTCCATCGGGCAAATGTAGTCCGTTGATTCATCAAACTTCTTTTTTCTTATGTTTCCAAAGTGTGAAAATCCCAGTTTTCTTGGCTAAAACACAGAAGACAAGGTTGTGAAGATGACCAAGCTGCTGTGAGGTATGACTGGCACACCGCAGGCCTCGATAAAAGAAGTAAGGCAAGCTGCTTCTAGAAAAACTCCCTTAAAAAAAATATGTTTTTATGGATTTTTTAGAGAGAGACAGAAACATCGATGTAAGAGAGAAGCATCGATTGGCTGCCTCCTGCATACCCCACACTGGGGATGGAGCCCGAAACCTGGGCATGTGCCCTCGGGACCTCTCAGTCCGTGGGGCAATACTCAATCCACTGAAAAACCCTCTTAACAAAACAGAGCTCCTGTGAGCAATCTCTACACTGGGAAAGACCAACAGATAAATGATTCTGAACCTGGAGAGCTGCTCTGAGACTCTGACCCTGAGACTGTCCTGCTGCCCCAGTAGTGATGCTGGCATCTCCGGGCGCTGGGTGCCTGGAGGACCTGCCTCCCCACAGCTGCTGGTGCACACAGGAACTCTGCCTCCCTTCCGATGACCCCTGTGAGGCCACCTGGGGCAGCCCTGGGCGGCCATCCTCCCTCTCCAGCTCTGCCCAGCAGTGTTTCCGCTTGTCTGCCCAGACACATTTCTGGTCCTGCTCCCTTGGGGAAGGAGGTCTGGGAAGGACATGTCTGAGGACGCTGTGGTCAGGCAGGTTAAGTGGGTTCTGTGGCATCCAGAGAGCGCCAGGGAGTGGTGCTGGCACTTGTACAACCTCGCAGCCTCTGGACAACTCTGCGCCGGCCGCTCCACAGGGCAACCGGGGCCAGCTGCCAAGAGGGACACTCCCTGCGTTGGCAGGGAAGCTTTGACCAAGACAGCCCACAGCACCGTGGGACAAGACTGGGCTGGACCACAAGGCAGCCCGGGCAGAGGACAAGCCCCCGGCCTCCTGAGAAGAACTGCTTCCGGCACAGGGAGGCCGTGGAAAGAGTCCTGCACCTGTGCCTTGGACTCGCGTGGCTACGACGAGCCCCCAGCAGAGCTGAAGAGCCCTGGTCCAGGGGCACACCTGGCTCCGGTGCAGGGTCAGCTGCTGTACAACACGAGGGCCTGAGGGAGGCCGAGGCCCTGGACCGCCGCAGAGGGGATCGGCCACTCACCCGGACCTTGGCTGTGGTGGTCAGCGGCGTGTACGCTGGTGAGGCCATTTTCTCCCGCTTTTCCTGTTCCGCCTCGGGACCAATCAGAGCACTGAATTTGGTAGTTAGGTGGCGTCTCAGGAGCGTCTTCTGTGGTGGGATGTTGAGAAGCATAGCCAGGGTGTCCCCAGTGAAGCGAGGCTCCAGGATCTAAGGAGAAACCAGGCCAACCACCCAGTGGTGACGTCGGTGGCTGCAGGTGATGACATCAAGCAGTCCCTCCAGGGCAGGGGCTGAAACTCACCCACTCGGCCTGTGTCCCACCCACCTCTCCACCCGGCACAGCCTGGCTCCCAGCAGACACGGGCACAGCTGTGGACCAAGCATCGCATTCTCGTGGACCAGCGGAGAACGCGCCCTCCTAGATAAGGCCACCTCCCAGGGTCCACTCCGGATGACAACCCAGCCACCCCTTCCCCATTTCCGGCTGGCTTTGCCACTAGAGAGACCGGCGTGATGGTCAGGACTGTAGCGCAGCACATGGGAAGTTACATCTGGGTGGCCTCTCAGTCACTCCCCAGCGCCCGTGTTCCTCTAGGAGGAGGTGGAGCTGAGGGCTGGTTCTCAGGCACCCCCTTTCCCTGGAAGACCCCTGGGTCTGGGGCTAGGGAAGTCCTCCCAGAAGCCACCTTGTTTCTGTGAGACTTCAACTTAGACAAGGACTCAGATGAAATACAATTACTCTCACTAGGACTTATGCCTAGCCCTTACAGAAGCAATTTCCAAATAGCCCAGTTTCCACCGAGGAAGGTGGGCTAGTCCAAAGGGCCACTCACAATGAGACCTCCGTGGACGCCACTCCCACGCAGGTTGGGTGCGTACTCCGCCAGGTCCACGGATCGCAACCACTCCATTACCCGGTGGTTGGACCACTGCACAACTTCTGAGGGAGAAAGGCTGCTCTGTGAGGGGGAGAAGGAGGAAGAGCTTAGGTCTAAGACCCACTGTGGTGCTCTGTGGAGCAGCGCCTGGGAATGCGCCCCCTGGATGCCTCACCGCAGGGCAAACACGACTCGCACCCAAGTGACTCGGGCGGCAAGACCAGCACCCGAGACTTTCCAGTTTCCCAGAAACAGAGCTCTCGTGACTCTTGTGGATTTTCTACATTGAGATCTCTGATTCCAGAATCCTGCTATTCCCTAATTCTCTGGGTACCTTTGGAACCAGTGGTCCCCAAAGGCATCCAGTTATTCATTCAGTGATTCAACAGAACTTTAAAGAGGACTGTCAATTATGAGCTGAGTATTTTATAGATAAAAGACCCCCCTGAAATGGCCCAATATTCTGGGAGAGCACACATTGAGACACTGGTGCCTAAGTGCCCTCAAGTGGCAACAGGTCTTCAGAATACCCTGCATGTGCCTGGCATGTAGAAGATATGTGCCTGGCATGTAGAAGGCATGCATAGGAAAAAACAGGCAATTGAGGGTAGAGGTAGGAGTCTTTTGTCCCTCAGGAAGCTGAGTTCATCTTACAGCAGAGTTAGACTCAGTTCCCAGGAACATAGGAGATGGGGTGTAGTCACAACCTTTAGCTTCAGGGCCTACCAAGGACTTGGAGGTTTATGGAACATGATCAGGGACCTCTCCAGCATTTGGGTTGCTATGTTTACCTACACTATTTCTTCTCCTGCAAAATCTGCTCATGGATTCCCTGTGCACCTGGGACTGGAGGTCAGTGAAGTTCGTATCTACCAATAGGGAGATCTATTCCAAAATGTCTGTTTTTTTTATGGGCTCATCTCCGCTCCTCTGCCTCTGTTACACCCATCTTTCCGTTTTGTCTTTCCCCTCTCTCTCCTCTGCACCATTTCCTCAGCTCCTTTAATTATTATGGTGGCTTTGAAAGACTTGCTACTACTGCCCTCTGGGCCACAGCATGTCTCCCCAGGGGAAGGTGGGAACTTGGGGTCACAAAGGATAGGCCATGGGGTGTCTGGGGCACCACAAAGCACTAGCAAAGGAAAGAGTCCCAGCAGCGTGATCCGAAACACAGCCGTTTCATGATGCCGTCGCTCTTGCTTCCTTACGCCCAACCGTACAGGTTTCCGGGCTCAGGGCTGCCGAGAGGTGTGCCCCGCCCTCACCTCGTCGGCTGGCCGCCGGTGCAGGCAGTGGGGGTTGAACTTGTTGACGTGCAGCACGTGGATGGCACATTTGATGCTGAGATGATGGAGCTGGCTGGTGACTTTTAAGAAGAGTAGGTCATTCTGGAAGAGGAAAGTTCTGGTTGATGAAACAGAGTTCTCAAAGTGACTAAAGACCCCTGCGGTTCCTTCCCAGACCAAACAGGGACAAGCCCCCACGTCTCAGCAGGTGCACATGGACACACCAACAGCTTTTCTTAGCACAGTGCTTTATACTTGGCTACTTGGAACCTCCTACGTGACAAGCAACACGATTTAAGACCTTAGGAATGCGAGGGAGGTGGTGGAATCGAGTGTAAAACAGCCGTGAGAGGGACGCCTGAGCTGAGTGGGTGCTCACGGGGCCACTGAAGTCTTGGAAGGAAAACTCCTCACCACAGTTAGGTACTGCAGCATGCGTCCATCCACTCTGGATTCATGAAACTGGTCTTTGTACTGGGGTAAGCCGATGTCGTCCAGCCACCCTACCACAACAGGGAGCAGCGGGTGTGTTAGGGTTCATGAGAGAATGGGAGAACGTGGATGCACCCCCCCCCCCGCAAAAGAGGGCCGCAAATGACCATTCTGGAGTTCCGGCTGTACCCCCCTGAGGCTGAGTAATCCAGCTGCCTTTCCCGAGGAGAGAGCTGTGCTTGGTCCCCGAGGCACACATTCCCAGAGGATCCTGTGTACCCCGAGGCACAGCCAGAAGCATAACTGCGTGTATATGCCAGTCCTTACGTGTCACCCAGATGTGGTCTAGAAGGGCAGACTTCTCCTCCTGCTTGGTGTTGACGGCCTTCACTGCCAACACCAGCTTCTTCCTGTGAAGAGGGTGCTTAATTCCCAGCTCCTGAGACACAAAGAGGAACACGTGGAATTTTGGCGGCACTCTGGCCCTCACAGGACGCCGTGTCTGGGCGGTGACATTCCACCCACGTGGCAGGGAACCCTGCACAGTGCCAAGGCATCAATTTGCAGTGATAGAGGTCTCAACCCCTCTGTCCACTCTCCTGTGTGTGGAGTGGGGGGTGGAGGAGGACGGGGGAGCCTCACCTCCCCAGGCATTGGTTTGGGGGAATAGGAATCGCCTTGTCCAGGGCTCAGCCCTTACCTTTTCCATGTCCTGAGGGGTAGCTGTCAGTAAAGTGTGGCCCGAAGTCACCCACTGCCTGGCAAAGATCACGTACTGCGCCAGGCCGAAGTCCTCCAGCCACGCACACACGCGCTCCGTGCTCCACTGGGCAAAGGGGGCGTTGGCGTCGCTGGGAAGCAGGGAAACCACACGTGCCTGTTAGTGGGGGTCTGAGGCTCCATCTGAATGTGACTGAGCCTCACCTCAAGGGGAACAAAGTTTCACAAACAGTCCCCACCATGGGATCTAGCTGAAAAAAATTCCACTACAACACACTCATCTGAGGCGGCCTCTAGGGTGTCCTGTGACAGCAGCTGGTCTGAATTACAACTCTGTAGCTGCGGGAGCATGGGGCAGCCGCGGGAGTATGGGGCTGCTGCACGAGCCTGGTGAGGCCCACTACATGCACATCACCACGCACACGGGCCACCGCCGAGTCCTGCCCTGTTAGGCCGACAGCCACCTCGAGGCTGCTTTCCACAGGGCTCAACGCCACTTTTAGGAAAACACTCAGAAAGCTAGGAAAAGAGGTCAGTTCTCTCTCATTAAAACAAACAAACAAACAAAAAACTCTGACAACAGCTTCTACCTTATTTATTAATGCAACGTGAGGGGCATTCACATTAAAGCCATAAAGAACAATACTTTTTATCAGTACTGATAACACTGGTCTGAGAGTTGCAGCCAGTATTAGAAGAGATACAATAAGAATAAGGACAGCTATTAGAAAGGCAAAACTAAAAGAAAGCCATTTCTTTAAGTCGACACAACTGTGCACCCAGAAAACCCCAGAGAATTCAGGGAGGTGGCTAGTTATAAAATACACACAACACATCTGATCTTTATCACATGCACAGATCAACCATTTTCTATACAGAGTGCACAGACACTAACATTTTTTTGTTAGATAATGTAAAAATCCCACTCATAGCAACCACAACAATAAACTGCCCGGGAGCTGCCTGTACAAAGACTGTGTGGGTCCCGAGTCACTGTGTGTGGTGCCGGGGGGCGGTGGAAACTAATATCCAACCGAGCAACGTAAGCCATGAATAAATGAAGAGCTGGATCACGTTTCTAGACAGGATGACTGGGTGTCACAAATGATCGATTCTTAGAGACATCAATTTTTCATGTAGAGTGTGAATATTCATGGCACACTTAAAATCCCCACCGAGTCTTTCTGAGGGGGGAGAGAACGAAGTTGACAGAGCAACTTGATATTCAGTTTAAAAAATAAATGGGCATGTATGGAACATTAGAAGACTAGATATTTCCAAAGATTTCTTCCAGGAAAGTACCCCTAAGAGACTGGTTTAAAAAAAAATTTTTTTTTTTTGAATGCCTGGTTGAGTTGTTCTTAAAATGAGGGAATTTGTTCCAAGTGACAAGACAATGCCCTCGCCTGTCCTCCGTATCCCAGTAGCACGTGTGACGTGCTCACATGTCCAACGGGCGAGGTGGGAGCTCTGCACTGGGGCTCCTGCCGTCCACCCCTAGGTTCTTGGGGACATCTGGCCCCATCCCAACTCCACCCTGGCCAGGATTCCACACAGGTCTTTGTAGGCAGATAGAGGGGCCTTACCTTTTCTGACCGTTGGAGTCTCTGGTCCTAGAGAGCCTTGGCCCTGCAGTCGCCCGGAGCCCGCCTCGCCGGAACTCCGCCATCCCCGGCGCGTCCGTGTTGAAATTTCCTGACTGAGTTCTTCGGATTCTGTGTGGAGAGGTGTCCACAGGGACTCTCAGGGACAGTCTGAACACGTGCAGTGGTGCACCCCTCCTACACAGGGCCACACGAGCCAGGCCCAGTGCCTCCACAGAGGTCAGGGATCATGACCTTTGGCAGCTCCGTGGCCAGACCCAAACCCCAATTCTAATCCTGCCTCTGGGATTTGGGCCACTCCCCGTGGGGGTAAAAGTGAAGGGTGGTCCCGTGTAGGAGGCCCTGTTTCCGGCCTCATTTCCAGACTGGGTCAGTTGGGCCAGCAAGTAGTCAGCTTTCTACCTTCAGAGATGTCTTAAGACACAGACTGATGCCTGAAGAGGAAGAAATTGGTCTCACTCACGTGTCTCTGCCAAAGTACATATGAATGAGCTACAGGGTGTGTGCCCAGGGTGTGCGGGATGGGTGGATGCCTAGAATGGATGACATCTTAGGCAACTGGGTGTATTGAATGGCTGCCTTTCATAATTCTCCTTCTCTGGGCCCTAAAAATGTCACTCAGATTCTTATCTCTAAACATAATCACTCTATTTTTACTGCTGTTCCAACATCTAATTGAACAGCGGTTTATGCAGACTCTGCCCAGTCAAGAAGAACATTCATGCCAAGCACTATAATCACAATCATCACTGCCAACTTACTTTCCCCAGAATTTCTTGATGCCTTTGGGGCTCCGTTTACTATCTGGTGTCAGGGGAGACTGGGGGCCCGAGTCAGTACCAGATGACGTGGATGAGAAGTCATTGGCCATCGCAGCGTCGTCCCAGCCACTCTCTGTGTCTCCTGAGATTGAAAGGATGGGACGATGTGTGAGAGACGGAGGGGGGGACCCACGGAAACTCCTCCCCCAGGCTGGCTGTCCTTCAGTGGGGGTTGGGAAGAGTCTGCCCAGCTCTGCCTTCTGGGCAGCACCTGACACCGAGATCTCAGTGGGGGCTCGAGCACACTCCCCGTTTCTCTCTGAGGAATCAGTGACTTAGGGTTTCAAATCTGGGTGAGCGAATGTCTTCAAATTCGAAGGGTTTTGGGTCCAAGTACTTGCAGGTAACTCCGACAAGGAGCTTGCTTTCTTTTTCCCAAGGGAGAGTGGAGCATGTAGGCAGGAAGGGGAGCAGGCTGTGTTTGGGAGGGGGTGTCAGGGAAGGGAAACAGGGCATCTCACTTGCCACCTCACCTGGAAGGGTACAGTACCTAATACGGGGGCACTGACACTCCGGCCACGGTCTCCAGCCAACCAAGAAGCAGAGAAGCCACATGAAGAAGCAAGAGAGGCCCAAGTCCAGCCCACCAGAGTTATAGGGAAGCAAAGAAATAAACAAGAGTCATCGAGCAAGAGAGAAAAACTCAAACAAAAAGAAAAATAATCCCACGAGGAAGGAAGGGGTGAGTGGTGACCAAGCTCAGCCCGCGGGGTCAGCTCAGTGAGAGAAGGGTTCACGTGAGGGGACCGAATACTCCTGGGGCCACTCCTAGGAGGTGGGGTGCCCACAGGCAGGGAAAGGGAGGGAGAGAGGCAGGGGCCGAATATACTGGGCCCCGCACAGCTGTACAGGGCCAGGGCGCAGTCAGACTAGAATGTCCAAAGCTGCTGCCAGCCCAAGTCAGCAGGACATACTCCTTCCCAGGCTTATCTGGAGTTCGGGCAGCCAAAGGCAGAACTGGCCAGGGGCAGAAGCCAACACGTGGGCTGACACAGGGGGCAGCCAGGGATGAGGACCCAGGGGAGGGAGGGCTCTGCCAGGACCAGAACATTCCCTCCTGGCCCCACTGATCTGCTGCTGCTGTTGGGGACAGATGGCCTCTTCGGCGTGAGCAGCAGCCCAGACCTCCACGGCCCCGGGTTCTAGGCGCCGAAGGAGACCTGTGCACTGACATCCTGCCCACTGGCCACTGACTCCATGTCTCTAAGGAAATGCTCTCCCTGGGAAGAGCCCACAATATCATCCTACTGGAAACAGAGAGGCTGCAGAGAGGAGGGCAGAGACAGGGAAGGGACGATCAGGGTGACAGAGGAGGGAGAGGAAGGGACAGGGAGGTGGAGCGGGGTGCCTCAGGGGGTGGGGAAAGAGGAATGATGGGAAGAGCAGGAAGGGGTTCAAGAGAGGAGGACAGAGGAGAGATGGGGTGGAGTGATTGTAGCAGGAAAGAAACGGTGGGTACACACGCTGGTTTTCTGGGCTCTCAAGTGTTTACTGAAGGGAACCTTATGCTCAGACAGGGAGCCATCGTCTCTGGAAGTGGTGTGACGCCCCATTCACCCACCCCCATCTACCCCAACGCGGGGCAGCAGCGGTGGGCACAGAATCCTGTGCAATGACTCGAAGTACACGGCCACTTCCCCAAGGCCACCAGCCCAGAGGCCTGGACACTCACTCAGCCTCGGCAGGCTGGTTCCTACGGGGTCAGGCTGGGAGGCGGGGGGAGCAGATTTGGCAGCGTCTCCATTGGGCACGGCTCCTGAAAGCTTCCCAGGCAACGTGGGGTACTTGTGCTCCGCCAGGAAAGGGCTGTCCTATTGGAAGGAGGGACAGATGTTGAATTAGCTGTCAGTCTCAGCACCAAACCCAGCTAGGAAACCTCTGGCTGCAGGAACAACTCCCTGTTCTCCAAGGGTCATTTTCACTCAGGCTGACTCAAAGACTCCTCAAAGATCATTTAGTCCAGGCCAGGAAAGGGGACCAGAGTTCTGAGCAAGGAAGACCCTTGCCCAAGGCCACACAGGGAGACATGATGGAGTAAGACCCACATTCAGGGCTCACTGCAACCGACTCTAAGCAGGAAGTGGAGGTGTCTGGCAAAGGGGGCTTCTGCATTTGGTCTGGGGCTCAGGGGCTCAATGAATCAACAGCTGTAAATTAGCCTTTGATCTCTTTGAATATACAAACCAGAATTATACGAAAAGCTATTGCTTTATATATAATAATTAACATATATTACATCTAACATATTATATATAGCTAATACACATTATATGTTTATTATATATTATGGTAATTTTGAACAATATCAGGTTAAGGCAAAGGGAGAAGGCATGCATGTGTGGCAACAGGAAGTGAGCGGGAGGTCTGCACGCCAACAGAGTCCCCTAGGAACTCGGCTCACAGTCCACATAAGGTGTAGCCCCAATGCAGTGGGCCTGGCCATGGAAAGTGTGTCCCAAAGAAACGAGTTGATCAAAAGGGAAAGAAGAATGGGACTTATTTGGTCAAGAAAGATATAATGGCCCTTAAATTCCGAAACCTGCGGGAAACACAGTGCAATGCATTGGAGTGAGAATAAAAGAGAAAGAAAAATGGAAGCGACATTACCAGGGGAGTCAGCTGTGGGTCACTAGGTTGGACTCAGAAGAAAAGTAAAATGAAAGACAAACCGACTTCAAAACTACAAATCAGACAAGTAACGGGAGACTTCGGGGGCTGAGACGTCTTTTGAAGTTTTACTTAGTTAACAGCCAAGTGCCCCATAAATTTCCAAATTCAGTTTGCTTATAAATGCATGCCTTAGAAATCGTTTGAAATCCAATTCACTCTTTGGACATCGAATAGTAATGCCCTATAAATGAGCTCAGAAGGGAGGGGTATGGAAAAAGTAAGCTAAATTCTCAAAGAATTCTGAAAGAACGGCTGGTAAAGTAGAAATAATCAGAACCCTGAGAGATGGAGACCATGCAGTCTTGAAGTTCAAGATGACCCACAGGAAGAGCCTCGACCTGGTCAAGACCAACCGTGTCCAAATCCATGGACTGGCTGCTTCCTCATCACCTGGGGCATGTGTAAGAACAATATAAGTCCCCACATTACAACTTGTTCCCATGAATCAAGTGTACCCCAAGAGCCTGCATTCTTCACAGGCATCTCAATTACTCTGATGCACAGTCAGACCCATGAACCATCGACTGGGGAAAGCAGCATTCAAAAAGTCTAGGCAATTGTCCAGCTGGTGTGGCTCAGGGGTTGAGCGTTGACCCATGCACCAAGAGGTCACCGGTTCGATTCCCAGTCAGGACACATGCCCAGGTTATGAGCCTGATCCCCAGTGGGGGGCATGCAGGAGGCAGCCAATCGATGTTCTTTCATCAATGTTTCTATCTCTCTCTCCCTCTCACTTTAAAACCAATAAAGATAAAAAAGAAAGAGAAACAAAAAGTTTAGGCAACTGAAGAGCCTGACTCCAAGTTTCATAATACAGGAAATTTGGGAGTAGGAAGGGCCCTGAACAGACTTCCGGTTGTATCATCACACATGCCCTCCAAAAACAGGGCAGGGGCGATCAAGGCTGTTGACGTGGGCTGCCCGAGAGCTTGCCGAGGATCTGGGATAAAAAGAGCGCATGGACCTAACCCAAGGATGGGTATCAAAGGTGCCCAGAACAATGAGAAAGACAATGAAAGGAACCGAAGGCAACAGAAAGGGCTCTTAGCTCTTTTCAGCCAAGGAGAAAAGCTGGGAAGGAAGGACTCACTGTGGGACAAGGCTGTGCAGGGGGAAGAAATGCCCGAATCAGGCCTGCCCCTCTGGTCTCCAAGAAGAGTGAGCCGGTTCTGGGGGAATGGAACCCCCAGCCAGGGAGTGCGTGTAACCGACTGCCTAGCGCAGAGAGGCGGCACACCTGAGCGGGAAGCCCAGGCTCAGACCAACTCAGCCAAAGCCCTTTCTCTTTAGCCTCTCAGAAACTGTTATCGTTTCTAAACAGAGAATAACAATTCCTGCCTCAGACCAGCACATAAACAGAGGCCCAGAAAAGATCACGTGCCCAGGGCCTGGTGTGACAGCAGTACTACAAGAGAGATCCCTACATGAAGGAATTCACAGGTCAGACCCCACCAGGAACATCACACTCAAGTGTGGGCCAGGGCAGTTAGAGGACACACTGAGAAACTAGTGCGGATCCAGGGAGACTGCGCAGGAATGCCAACGGTTCGTGATCTGTGCACAGGAGAAGAGGATGTTCAGCTCAGAGAGGGCCTGAGGGGCTTAAATTCTAGAGCTGTCAGGAGCAGGGGAGGATGACTTGTTCCATGGGCTCCAGAGGGAGAGCTGGGACCAGCAATGCACATTCTAAGGAAGCCCAGAAGACGCACCTCGGAGACAGAGCCAGAAAAGAACACCGGTTGTTTTCGAGTATAATGAGCTCCCAGTCACCAGCGCTAGGGGGCGCTGTAGAAAGACTTGAGGCTGTGGCGGGTGCACTCCTGTTTTTAACCATGACACAACCCAGAAAGAATGACAACTGTCACGCTCCTCTGTGTGCTGAGACCACATCCCCTCCCCTGCGGTCACACCTACATTTCTGGTTAAAGATGAATTTCTCTGAGCCTACACAATGGAGAATAAGAAACCCAACCCCACAGATACCGGAGTTGAAAGCAAACGAGACGGCTGGGTGCACGACAAAGAAAACGGGAAGGTTTGTCTTTTCTCTCACCCTCTTACCCCTTAAGCTAATGTTTTTTATGGTTACAAAAGCTGTAACTTGCTAAATGAAAACACTAACAAGCAATACAACCGCATATAGGTGGCAGGGAGATGCGCTTAACGTACCTTGGGCTCTCCCACCAGGGAGACTTGGTTCCCATTGACACACTGTGGAATGACAAGGAGGATTTCGATTATGGGGAGAAAAAGAGACCTGTGTTAGTCACAAACGAACCAGGACCAGCTTGAATCTACAAAGCTCATCCCCTCCCTCCCTATCATTACAGCTGGGAACCTCCATTCACGGCAGGAACACACAGATCACTGTCCATCCCCACAGACAGATGTCCCAGAAGCTGCTAGCCATCTGACCAGGAGGAGCAAGAGCCAGGACCATGGGAGCAAAGCTACTGAATGGGCCCGTGACTCCTGCCACCTCCCCCATCTACGGTTTTCCACTGCAGCACCAGGGAAGCTGGTGCCCTGCTGGAGACCGGGGAGCCTGACCGGCAGGCTCAGGGAAGATGCTCTGTCAGGGCAGGACCCCTGGGTCTCCAGTGTCCTCGCTCAAGAGCCTGCGGTCCTCTCCTCCAGCACAGGTCACCACACGGTCAAGCGCTACCCTCATTAGGCACTACAAAGCCCTCCTCATCTTTCCAGACTCTTACAAAAGGTTTCTCTCCAATATTCTCAATTATCCTGGGGCTCACTCCTGGATGATCTCCTTTATCCACATTACTTCCTCGTTCAGAGTCTCTGCAATACTCCTGGTGCCCTGAGGGTACAGGGCTAGTATTCCCAGAACCTGCCTGTAACCACCTCAACATCTTTCCTCATCAACTGCAGGCAGCATTTCCTGACTTACCCGACCTCTAGGATGCCATGGGCCACACCTGACTGTTTTTTCAGAACATTCCTGCCTTCCCCTTATAAAAGCCTTTACAAGGTGGGGACCGGGACCTCGCCTGTGTGTCCCAGCACTGTGCTGGGCACAGAGATAACTCAGGAATCTTATGGAGAGACTGACAGGCTGACCTTATCCACAGGTTCACTTCTCAAGTCTTCTAGACTACAGGAGAGTTTCTTCTGAGCCCTGAAAAAACACAAAAAAAGTCATTGGAGAAGGAGATACACAGTATTATTCATGCAGAGGACATTCCAAATGTTTAACCAGTAGTTTGTATTGGGCTTAGGGTCAAGGTCAGGAAAAAACCACCCTCTCGTTATAACCATTACCTATTAGATGAGACTGGCCCATCTCAGGGGTAGCCTGATGGGACAATGTGTTGGTGAGGGCATGAGAGCATCATTTAGATCCAAATCAAAAGACCTTAGCATTCCTCAACAAGCTAGAATATATTCAATTCTGTTGTATCAGTGCAAGCTGTTTTGTGGTAGTAAAAGACTAATGTCTAAAGACTCAAAGAGAGGAAAGGTGCCAATACTGCCTCATCTGTGAGTCTAAGAGTAATCCAGGGAGGAATTACTTTAGAGTGGAGACAAGCACATCAGCCAGCCCCAGCTCCAAAGCATTACCTGCTAGAATTTTCCAACCCTCTGCTCTGGCCCTGCACATGCTAACCAGTCTGCTCAGTAAACTGCTTTCTCAGGGGCTATTTTACAGAGAAGGGCACCAATTTTAAAAAGAGGCAACACCACCTGTGGTCACAGGGTTACCTGTGATGAGTCTCCTTGGCAGTGACAGTTCTCAGTTCATATGAAGAAGTTAGCATCTGTTTGTACATTAGTCTCATGTGAGTCTGGTCAGTGTGAGTTACTCCCTCCTGAGTAAACTCATAAACCAAATTTCTTATTCTGCTAAACTGAGGACTGGCTAATTGCCCTGTTTGACACCAGTTTGCTCTGGAGCTAAAGGGTCATGGGAAAATGGCTCTCTGGAAAGTGGGGTCCTGAGAGTGGAGACTCTGGAGGTTCTGCACCACTCTGGGAAGGCTTCCATCATATCTGGCCACTTCTCCAGATATCGTGGCTGAAAGACAGCCTGCTCTTGGCAGTGAAGCTCCATATCTTCATTACTAGGACATGTGTTCTAAAGAGCTAATATAGGGAACTAGAAATAGGTTCATTTTATTTAATTTTTTTTTCTTTATTGATTTGAGAGAGAGAGAGAGAGGAAGTGAGAGGGAGAGAGAGATAGAAACATCAACGAAAGAGAACACTGACTGGCCGCCTCCTGCATGCCCCCCGCTGGGTATCAGGCCCACAACCCGGGCATGCGTTCTGACTGGGAATTGAACCATGACCTCTTGGTGCATGGGTCGACGTTCAACCACTGAGCTACACAGGCCAGACAAAATAGGTTCATTTTAAAGTGAACCAGACAGATGACAGCCAAATGACCCCAAAGTCCAGCCCATCATAAGCTCATTGCTATGTGAAGCTTCTCCAATGCAACTGGACCAACTTCCCTGAAGGAGAAATGGCCTTCCCTAGACAGCATGGCTTGTCACAGGGTTAAAATCCCCGAGAGCAGGAAGGACATTCCAGAGGGGCCTGCAAAAATGACAGGCACACATCATGGGACGCCCTCAGCTCTGATGAGCCACGGAGGGCCACTTCTCCTCTGAGGTTCTGACCCCTGGCCAGGTCTTTTCTCAGTGACAGTGACCCAGACCCCTGGCCTGAGCGGAGGAGAGCCCCTCTGTGGCCAGGGGGTGATAGGCATCATTCGCGACTGCTCCATGGTTTTGGTCCTATTGTGGCCAATGCTGGGGCCTGGACTGCTACCCTGATGGTGGTCGTGCTCACCATGCATGGCAAGTCCCCGCCATGTCAGGAGCCCCGAGAGGGGCCTGAGGGCACAGTGGCTCTGGGGAAGTGCTTGGGCCTCCTACCTGGTTTCCAGTGATTTCTGTGGAAGTGGCGGTGGCGCCACCACAGGAGGGCTGCATCTTGGAGGCATCTGCACCAGAAAGAGAAGCGTCACCACAGAGGACAGTCACTGTTTGGAGACCACCATTATCCTTTCCCCTTTTTTGGATGACTTCACTTGAGGAGCTACATTTCTGCCCCCGGGTACAGCCACGGTGGCCGTGTCAATTCTGGTGCTTTGCTCTTTCAAGATACCAAGGAGGGAGGCATAAACAAACGGCCCGGGAAAACCTGCCTCTCCTTCCTGTTGCCCACATTCACACCCCAGCAGCAGAGCCCTGACAAGGGAGGCCCGAGCCTTGGGTCCCAGGGCTCCTGCTGCTCCTGTCCTTTCTGAGCTTGCTTCTTCAGCTTTTCCTTTCCTTCAGTGGGCCAACACCCACCCTTTCAAAAACATTCCTTTTGGCATAGGCTAGCCAGAGTAGAGTTCTGATGCTTGCAATGAGCAACAATGCAACGGATGTAGTCACTCGACAAAGGTGAGCAGCATCTACCACCTGCCAGGCGCTGTGCTTGGGACGGGGCCAGCACTCTCCTATCAGGGAGGCACACACGTTCATTAGGATGAAAGATCAATGCAACATGTCCTTATGGCACCAATACCTATGACAGAGGTATAGAGGGGGACAGAGGTCAGGGAGGGGCTTCTTCTCGCTGGTGGGCAGGTTAGAACGGCTTCAGTGGGAAGACGACTTGAGCTGAATCTTAAGAACTGAGAATGGGGTCACCAGGAAAGCAGGAAAGGATAGGCATCACTGGCGGCACGACCTGAGCTACTGATGGTGCAGAGGGACACCGACCCATGTCTTCCGCATTAGACTAACCGCGAAGACCACCTCTTTCCCCTAGATCTGGGTCGTTTTGGTCTACTCTAGGGAGACCCCTGGCATTACAGTACAGTCGGTAAAGCCTGGGCTTTTTTTCTTGCCAAATAAACCTGGCTTCAGGTCAAGGTGCTGCCATTTACTCGCTGCGGAGTAAATGAGGTGAGCCATGTACAGTGCTCATCACTGTGACACATAGAGGTGCTGAGTGCATATCGGTTTCTGCTATTTTATTATTGCCAGCAATCTGGAATGCTTGCCTTTGGCTAGGTCTCTGGGTTACTGGGTGACACGCATGCTTTCCTTAATTCAAAGGGTTGGGATGGACCGCTGAGATCCTCTTCAGTGTGGCTATTCCGGACTTTTGTGAACCTCAGTCTCTAGGTTAAAGCCCCTTCGCTACCTGAGCTCTGCATCTAGGAGCTTGCTTCCTTGTGTCTATCCTAAGTCCACAGAGATTCACATAACAGGACCAGATTGTAAACAAGGGAAAGAGGAGGAAGAACTCTACATGCTGGTTACAGGTCTACAGGGGGTGTCTGTGCAGTAGGAATGGAGCATTCAAACCGGCGGCTGTCCCACTCATTCAACAAACACTGGTTGAATTCTACTGGGTACCAGGCATCATTACAGACTATGAAGAAACAGAGGTACGTAAAAGCAACACCAACTTTGGTCTATCCTTACATTTCAGAAAGGAAAGACAAAAGGAAACAGGGAACTGGATTTTAAAAATAATTCCTACCCCGCAAGTCCAGCACCAACTCCGCTGTACCTCCGAGTGGAACTGAGGCCCCTGCTGAGCCCCTTGCTCCTGCAGGGATCTCCCCAAGGCCTCTGGGGCCACTCCACTGGTTTATGTTTTCACCTGTCAGGATTTATACCTGGCAGGTGCCTGACTAGATCCTCCCCTGTGCCCAGAGTAAGCTCCTAGGGCCTGCTGAAACCCCACATCACGGATGGAGACAGCGCACCTCTGGTTTAAGTAATTCTTCAAGGCCTTTATTCGTAGCGTTCCACCTTCTGAAACTTCCCTCTGGCTCTTCTTCATGGATTGAGAGATTTCTTTCTGAAGGCCCTGGGAGCGTCAATGCAGAAATGGTCACCACAGTACCCTTTGTTCAGAAACCTATAACTGGACCACAAAATCCTAACACTTTTTCCTTCATGAAGAAAGACTAAGAAACATACACAGGGGCATTAAGAGTGTGATTTGGAAGATTCTTCAGTGCATCTGAGCAAGGGCTGCCAAGAGGGTCGTCTCAAGGTCAAAGCTCCTGTATGGAGCAGAGAGAAGGCACCCCGCGGTATTGCTTTCCAACCTTCTCGCTCCTGGCCACCGGCAATCAGGTCCTGGGAGTGACTTGACCCAAACCCCCAAGGATAAGAAAATACAGGCCAGTGACATGTGTGTGGGGTTGGGGTGAGGGGGCTGGAGGACCTTACAGTAGACCCGGGCAGTGACCATTCAGCCACAGCCCAGTGTGGGGCTCAGTTTCTTCCTCTGAGGAGGTGGCAGCTCAGCCAGAATCAGAGACTCCTAAACACCCTCACGGCAGCCCCCTCCTAGAAACAGCTGCTTCCTGGCATCTGTGCTGGGAGCCCAGGTCCACGGTGTGACCAAGGCAGGCGGCCTGGCGCACGCCCCACTGTGCCCACGAGAACATCAATGCTGCCTGCATGTTGCACTCCATCTGGGCAGCAGATCTGAGATGCAAACAGCTCTCCCTGCCCTGTGACTTCCTGTGGGAACCTAGGCACCCAGAGACTCAAAGGAGCCTCCCAGTCCTTGGCAGTCTCCTGGGGGATTTCACGTTCCAGGAGGTGGACAAGCTCGAATCCCCAAGAAGCGCACGGGCATGATTTCTGATCCAGGTCTCACTCGCGCAGGGGTAACCTGGGTGGATGCACAGGACTTCACCCATGGGTGGGGGCTCGCAAGGGCTCAATTCGAAAGCTTCATTTTCTCGGTGATCTGGATAGTCCCTGAGAGTTCTGAACTGAGCACTAATGACAAAATGTCTGGAAACCTTAACAGCTGCCAATTCCCTGCAATTCAGGACAGTCTAACCAGCTCCGTTCTCCAGCAGAGGGCTGTCCCCAAATGAAGATGAAGGATCTTCCGGCAGGACTGCCCCTGGATGTAGCACAGCGGCCGGGACACCTCTGAGGGAAAAGGGTGCGCTTACGTTGAGTTGCCATCACGATCTCCTTCACCCTCCGGTACTGGTTCAGCAGCCCCGCGAGCTCCTCGATCCGACGGTCCTGACAGTGTGAGAGCAGACAATGTCAACATGGCTCGGGCACCTCGCTGAGCCCAGGTGGGGCCAGGCTGTGCTCTGCGCCCACCGGGAGAAGGTGCCACATGGAACCTGTGGAGTGTCCCAAAGGGAAACACGGCATCCAGGCCCCTTCCCAGAGCCTGGTTGTCCGTGGTCTGCCTCCCAACCTCCCCCTGAAGGCTGAGTCCAATCTCCAGGAGTCCCCGCCTGGTATAGCCTTCAAGGGGCCGAAATAGTTCTGAAGCAGGAAACTCTTGTCCCCTGCCCTCCTGAGGTAACCATTAAAATCTGCCTCCGGGTCCAAGTGTTATTCTCTGGAGCAGCACACACACAGACTAAGATAAAACTGCCTGTTTGTCCCAACATCCTCGCCTGTTTGTTAGGAGTCTGAGGTTCCTTACACAACCGAGGACATTTCTTTCAGCACAGGCCTAGGGATTCGGGAGGCCACACCGATTTGGGAGTAAGACGACCTTGGGCATACACCCTAGCCCTGCCATCTGCTGCTACCTGACCTTGGACAAAATGAAAGAACACTGAGTCCGTTTCCTCATCTGGAAAACGCAGGGGTGTGGTCCCCCAAGCTGATGTGTGCACCGGGCGGGTGCTGTGTGTTTACAGAGGTGTTCATTTCGTGGTTATGCGGGATGTAGACGTGAGGACTCTGAGGGCAGGCAAACAGCACTGCATGCTGCGTGTCTCTGGGACGGCTCACGGCTGGATCACGCGTGGGCGCGGGGGAGCGTTCTCAAGTTTCGCTAGGAGTCTAAGCAGCAGCTATGGCATTGGCAGCAACCACAGTGGTACTGTTTGCCCCACACCAGCGGGAACAGGCGCGGTTTCAATCTGCCTTTGGGAGATTCCATTTAGGCAACGTTCCCAGACATCAAAGCCAAAAACAAGTGGCTAAGGTCTAGTCTCTAGGAAGCAGAAGCCGTTCTCCTGACACACCCGAGTCCACGGCCTGATGGGCACGGCCGTGTCCAAAACAGCAGGCAAACAGCACTGGGACCAGCAGGGACCGAACAGAGCCGGGATGTCAGCAGGGGAAACACAGGGCTGCCCAGTGACGGTCTTACCTTATCTTCATTGGCAATAAGCAAAGTCTCCATCCCAATCTTCAGACGTTGAATTTCTTGGTCTAAAAAAATTTAGGTGAGGAAAGAATTACTTACATAAATGCAGACAGCTACCTCCACATGCTAGGATGCCCCTCAAGGCAAAGCTTGAGAAGTTCCCGGGAGAACAAACTACCCACGGCTTCTTTGCTTTTTTAAAGGGCCCATAATGATGTCTGGCATAGACTTCAGTCTCATTAAACATTTGTTGGACTAATAAATGAATGAACCTATCATTGCGTCTTCTCTTGATAGACATTTGTGGGGGAGAAACCAAAATGCCATTTGCTCAAAGGTGACACAGAGAAAAAGCTTTCAAGACCAACATCTCACAAGAATACAGACATTTATCCTTTATAACTTGAGAAGGCATATGCCTGGGCTGCAACTGTTTTTTAAAGAAAATCATACAGTCCCATGGATTGTAGCAGAGAATTTAAAATAAGGGGGTGGCTCAGTGGTTGAGCGTCGATCCATGCACCAAGAGGTCACCGGTTCGATTCCCAGTCAGGGCACATGCCCAGGCTGTGGGCCCAATCCCCAGTGTAAAGCATGCAGGAGGTGGCCAATCGATGTTCTCTCTCTCCCTCTCACTTCCTCTCTCTAAAATCAATAATGGAAAAAAAATAAAGTAAAATAAAATAAGGGGGTGGGCGAGGGTCTATAACTGAATGGAGACTGGCAAAGAATCATTATGTAAAAGTGTTGATTACTTGTCTTAATGGTATAGTCAGACTTAACTAACAGATGTTTTGACACATCTTTGGCTATATTAAAACAAACTCTACTGTTAAGGAAAACAATCTTATTTCATCATACATCTAAAGAATTTCCTTGTGGGCGGAGAGATCTATTTCAGTCTGTTGTGGACAATTCATGTCCTTCTCTCACTTTGGACCCCACAGGGACTCTCTCGACTTCTTCCCAAATTGGTCTGGAGAGCCAGGTCATAGGCTAATGCCTAAAGGAGCTGGAGGTCATCCTGCCAAATATTTGGAGGTCCAGGAGTTGGCACATCGATTTTCCAAACAGGGATACACCCGTACCCAACCTGGGTACTGCAAAGAGAATAGAGGTGTCTATGTAAGAAAAGTATAGGGGACAAGGGAACCCAAGTACAGGTACCCCACTTGCTTTCAGGATGCTTGCTAAATCCAATAAGAACAGGAGGAACAAATGTATGTATTTTGTATAAATAGCGGGAGGGATCCATTTTCAGGGGAAAGTAGAGTGCTTGCTCCTTATCGTCGGCTCTTGGCCGTGGAAGACCAGCTCCGTAGCCCGGATATGGGGGGAGAGAAGTGAGCTCCAAATGAAGACTGGCACTCCTCAATGCTTCGGGCAGCACGGGACCAAAGGCCCAGCTCCAGGAGGTACCTGATGATGGAGTGCAGTAGGCCCTGGAAGGCTTGGACTCCGGAGTAGCACGGAGCATGGGGGAAGGCTGCCTGGTCTAGCAGTCATGGGTTGGGCTCTCTGTCCTGGTTTAACATCACAGATAACCTAGGTCATCTTAGGGGGATCCAGCCTCCACATTAGGCTTGACGGGTGGGTGACACACTCAGTGGTTTGGGAAGAGAAAGGCTGGGGAAGGGTTTAGCATATTGGTGGCTAACTTTTTTCTCTAGCCTAAGCCACTATTTCCTGGCCACATGGTTTCCCCACCCTCGCCAGGGATCTGAGCTCAGCATCAATGAGACTAGGTCATAGAGCCAATCCACTGGCCCCCACGATCTCCCCAGCATTACTCTGCAGCTGAGATAAGAGGAAATGTCGGAAGATTGTGATCATCTTGTACACAAGGCAAATAGCCATAAATACTAAATATGTATTAATAAGAGGATTTATCCTCTAGTTTTAATCAGCGAGACTTGAACTCCTGGGGAACCATTCACCATCCTTTCCTTTATTTAGTAAGTATCACTTAGGAGCCTACCATGAACCAAATACGGTGCTAAGTTCTGCGGATATGGTCTTAAAGAAAAGACAGACACAGTCCCTTCCCCAGAGTGTGGGCTGCAGGCTATACAAAAAGAACCCCCAAAAGACAATGCTGACAACTTATAATAAATGCTATGGAAAAAAAAGAACACTGACTTAGAAAAAAATAGGGTTGGGGGCATCTACATGAAGTGGGGTGGCCGGGAGAGGTCTCCCTGAGAGGTAACTTTAAGTTGAGATGTAAAGGATGAGCGATGACTAATTTGTTTCTGTAAACTCAGGGCCTTGGACGAGTATCAGACAGGTCTCCACTTAGTGACAGAATGAATTGCTAAAGCCTCCCCTTTGGTGATGACACAAAACAAATCCTTTCAGACAAGCGAATGGCTAAAGCTCCAGAGGTGGCCAGAGATTTAATGGTCAGGATGCATCCCCAGAACGCCTTCAGAGTTGAGTCTTCTGGACAGGAGAGAGGTTGGTGGCAATGATTTCTGGACAGAGCTGGGTTGCATAGGCCCAGTCATGCACACACGAGCACACACCCATTCACTGAGACATGTCTGCACACACACATGCACTTCCATGCTCACATAGGCATTCACATACTCATCCACAGACATGCCAGCCCACCTATAAGAGGGGGCACAGGACCCAGGGCAACTGCACCCTCACAGCCAAACCGGTTACCTTTCTCCGCATGATCACTGTGGAGAGCCGCAGTCCGGGAGAGCTGGCTGTGCAGACGCTCAATTTCGGCATCCTTCAGGGCCACCTGCTCCTGCAGCTGGGCTACCTCAGCCTGCAAGAGGACAGAGGACCCCTCCCAGTTCAGAGGAACTACCAAACCGTAAAGAAGTGCTTCAAGTCAGAGTCCAGAGCCAATGGGTCCTAGGCCAGGTTAAAATTAGGAGCAGAGGTGCCAGAGGTGAGCAATTAAAGGTGCTCACTTCCCTCTCCACAAGGTGGACCTCTGACCAATAAACTCATTCTTTCTGGCCATTCTGGCCTCTGCCTGTCTCTGGCCGTCCACCTGCTCCTCTCCAGCGTCCTCCTACTTCACCAGGTTCTTTCCCACCCCTGCCCTCTGTGGTCCAAACACCACCGAGGTTGGAGGAGCTGGGATGGTATGCGGTGGGAGGGCTGCCCTTTGTCCAGAAATGGCTATTCTCTTTCTGGATATTCTCATGTACAGCATGCATGTACACCATTGTTACAGTGCACACATTTCTCATTTTCCTACCCCATCCAGGAAATGCAGGGGAAACCAAGTCACTACTGGTTGACAAGAGTGAGCCAAGAGTTGCCTTCCTCAGACACTCCCCTACCCTCTGTGCACAGCCACTGATCTGCCCACCCTCCAGGCACCTGTGTATGCTCCCCCACATGTACGTACATACAAGCATCCAGGTGTGCAAATAAGGTGGGTAAGTATAGCCACACTGGTGAACACACATTCATATCTGTACACACATGGGCAGTGGCACTGGATGGTTCTCATGTCTCTACTACATACAGCGGGTTCAACTTCACGCCCAACAGTAGGTGTGGTTGTGTCCACGCTTTCCCATACTCATTAGAAGATCAGAACTGTGCAGGTCCCACCCCAAGAAGCAATTTGGAATCTAACAAACTTGGCTTCTCTCACTTCCTATTGGGTGACCTTGGGCAAGTGAGTTAACCCTTCTGAGTCATAGCTCATGTGTAAAATGGGGGAAATAGCATTTACCTCGTGGGGCTGTAGAGAGGAGGAAATTGGATAATGGTTATGAACACTTAGCCTCATGCTTGGTAGACAGCAGGTGCCACTACAGCTGCTCTCATCCTGTTCCTTCCCTTGTGGACAACTAGCCGGTTCTCTGAGCATCGAACCAGACTACGTAAGGGGCTGAGGACTGGCAGAGCCTGGCAATGAAGCACACAGCAGACCTCTACTCTGGCTGCACCGCCCACGCAGGAGCCCAGTCCCGCCCCGCCTGCGTTCCCCGCGGTGGCGGAATGGGCTGTCCTTCCCACGGAGGCCTGCATTGTTCTCTGAACAACTCCAAGTAGCCAGTGAGCCCTGGTCCTGTTGGTGGCTCCTCTGCCAAACGGCCTGGTGTCAGCTTCTGGACCCGTGACAGAACAGCCACTCTGCGTGGACCCCTGGGCTACACCTTCTTACATCATTCCTCCCTTCGTCTCCACAGGGAGCAGTGGGAGGAAGCAATGGCCCTGCGTGTCCCTGGGGAGAAAACAGGAGTCGTGCAGGATTCAGTGGTCACATTGCAGAGCCGTTTAGTGGCCAGGCAAGGATGTAATCCCCGCCTGCTCCAAGCTGGGATCCCGCTAGCCACAGCCAGTCTGCTTCTAAGATAACAGGGCACAGGAGAACCACTCTCACATGGCTTGGGTCCCAGAGGCCACCTCGAGGGTTCTGATTAACCTTCCCTGACACCTCCCAAACGGCAGAGGTTGACCACGTGCTCTGGTGTCCACCCACAGTGGCCGACGGCCAAGTCCACCTGGGCCATGCTGCTCACTGAGACACACAGCCATGCAGCTGCTCCCATGGCTCACTCAGGGCTGCGGGGTCCGGGGCTCATGATGAATGGTGACTAAGGCTTCTGAAAAGCTTACCCTGAGATGCTCAATCCAAACGCCTCTTGTTTCTACAAGAGCCAACTATTAGAAAATATTCTCTTAGCCTTTCTTGTACCTCTCCACCCATTTCTCCCTTTCTGTGCAGACAGGGTGTGAGTTGGTCTCTGTTAGGAATCTGGACACTGGATGCTTGTCCATGGGCCCCAGAGCAGACCTCAGTGGTGTGGCCCTGTTGAGGCAGACCCTGGGCACGGTGAAGTCTCTTCTCTCTGAGGCCTGCCTCTGGGTGACGTCATCTGTTTAAATCCCTACAAAACACGTGGCTGGTCCCAACCTCCCATGTGCCAATTTCCACACCATAGGCCAGAAATGACAGGTGCTCTGACATCCTTTGAGTGGCACCTGTCCCTACCAGCTGGGAAGTTAACAATAGCCCAGAAGCCCTGCTTGACCATGAGGACCAAGGACGCAAGCACTGTAGCCACCAAGGCTGGAGCCGGCATCAGGCAGACATGACACTCTGGTTCCCAGCAAATGCTGGCCTCGTTAAACTTGGGACCACACCCCGCTGCCGCTGCACTGCAAGGTAAATCACCTTTAGGGACTGAGAAGCTTTACACAGAACACTGAAGAACTTTCAAAACCAGTGAAGGTTTTTACTACAGGGAATCAGGAGGGTATAGGGAAGCGAGCCTGAGTTTTAGAATGACACAGATCCAGATACGAACCTCACTTGGCCACCCTGAGCCTCGGTTTCCCTGCCAGCAAAATGAGGATAGTAAATCAACAGCCCTCACCAGGTTATTCTATGGATCGAATGGGAAAAAGTGTGTGAAGGGCTTGGTATATCCTGACACCTGGTAGTTATTAAATAACTTGGTATTTCAAAGCCTACATGCCAAGGCAAAGGTCTCAGGTAATTTAAAAGCAAAAGGGTTGTTTGATTTTATAAGAGAAGGTGGTATGCAGCACTTCAAAGGTTTCTCCGAGACAGGGCTCGCCTGAGCGGAGCATGCGAGGGCAGATTCCGAGCGATCTGAGAACACAGCTCCTACAGCCAGACACTGACGCCTGCTGCATACACGGGTAGGGCGAGATAAAAGCAGGGCCCTCGCTCAATGGGCCTGGGCTGCCTAGGGTTGGTGCTGACCAGCTGTGAGATCTTGGGAAAGTTAATTAACTACTCCGTGCCTCAGTTTCTCACCTGTAAAATGGTTAAGCAAATTACTTGACATTCACACAATAGAATAGTATATAGACTATTGATGTCAACATTGTGTTCAGAGTTTTTTCTTTTAGTAGCGTGATATAAAGTTGCATATCAATTATCAACATCAGAAACTGAGGGGGAGAGAGAGAGAACAAGACCCAGTAAGAGAAATGCTTGGAAGGAAATAATAGTGGTAACTCCTGGGTGGTACATGAGTGATTTTTGTTATTCCTTTAATTTTTTCTGGTTCAAAGATTATCTATAATGAATATTATTATTTTTTTAATAATCATTAAAAGTTAACTTATAGAAAAAACAAAGAACAAACTAGAAGTTAAGAAAACACTAGGAGCCCTGGCCAGTTTGGCTCAGCGGTTAGAGCGTCGGCCTGCGGTCCGGAGAGACCCGGGTTCGGTTCCCTCTAAGGGCACGTACTTCGGTTGCAGTTTGTCCCCAGCCCTGGTTGGTCATGTGGGTGGCAGCCACTCAATGTGTCCCTTCACGTCAATGTTTCTCTCTCTCTCCTTCCTCTCTCTCCCTCCCACTCTATCTGTACAAAAAATGGAAAAATATCCTCAGGTGAGGATTAAAAAAAAGAAAGAAAACACTAGGAAATGGCAAAATGCCTGCGGGACCACACGCCAACACCTGTAGGTGGCGCTGCAGAGACCTTAGGAAAATGGCAGGTGTGCACCCCACCCAGAGGCAGCCCAGCCCAGGCTCCTTCAAGCAGGAATGCTGTTCCAGGCAGTGAGAGCATCCTTCCCCACACTCCACCACCCCCAGGGCAGCCTAACTATTTCAATGTGAACTTTCCTAATGTTTAAATTTAGACAATGAATTTGACATCTTTAAACACAATGTTCAGCCCCCACCCCGGCCCACCAATATGCGAGCTGCATCCAGCCCACTCATTTTAATCTCTGCATGTCAACTATTTGAGGAAATGAAGGAAGGGGAAAAAAAAAAAAACTTATTTCACAAAACAAGTTTTCCTTGGTGTCCTTTATATAGCAAGCTCCCTCATTCAACAGAAGTCTGATTTGATTTTTTTAAAAATATGCAGAGTAGACATCATTTTTTAAAGGAATATGTTCATTGCTGAAAATAAAGCATGCTCTTTCTAAAAACCGATTACTAGAGGGACTGGCTAAACTTAAAATGATGCAGCCAATGTAACAGTGGCGTTCATCTGCTTATCATTCGCTCTCTTGCTCACCAGCCCTTCCCTGGCCCCGTGTCAGCTGATGGCGCTGCGGGACACAGCGCAAGGAGAAGACTGGGCTGCTGGAGCAGCTCACGATCCCGTGGGATTTCCCCCAGCGCAGAGCCCTCCTGGATCGAAGTGTCTGCTGCACGTCTGGCCACAGCTGCATGTGCACACAGTGGGCTCGGTTTGCATCTCTCCGGCACAGGGGCCTGTAGGCCCAGTGTGCACACAGACGCCCCCCACAGGCCTCGGTGCCTCCCCACAGGCATCAGAACCGCCTTTTACCTTAGTGGCCTTCAGCTTCCACTCATACTGATTCCGTTCGTTTTCCAGCTCCTCCACCTTGATTTTGAGGTGCCTGAGCTCTTGCAGTAACTCCTGGGGAGATGAGGGAGAGAGACAAAGGTGTGCTGGTTACTGAGCAGGACACGGCTCCCTCTAGCTGCAGCCCGGTTAAGCTCGTGCACAGGATGCCCAGGGCAAGAGAACCGCATCATGCTCCACACGGCGGCTCCAATCTTTAAACTTGGTGGTTTCAGGGAGTTCTTGACATGAGGGGAAAAAAACAACTTTCTGTTTATTTTTATTTTATATTATTTTGCTTTTTAAATCCTCACGCAAGGACATTCTTGTCTTTCTGCTTATTTCAGAACCTGTTCTGCCTGCCCTTCTGACATCTGCGTGCTGAGCAGGTGTGCCCACCGCTGGCCCATGTGTGCAAAGGGCAGGACCAAAGGGACAGAGATATGGCGGTGAGGGAGCTGCCTACAGACTAAGCAGCAGGAAGCAGGTTCACTGGGAGCATCTTTTTGTGCTGAGTGAGGGCTGAGGAACCCAGAGGGGTCAGTGATCCACACAGCAGGACAGACACACAGCACTGAGGAGACGACCGCTCAGTGGCAGGTGCAGGGGCCAGTCTGCGTGTCTGGTACACAAGAGGGGCTGCTTCAGAGAAGGGAGGGAGGGAGTCGGCATCCAGGGAGAGGAGGGGACACGAGGCTGGGAGATAGGTGGGGCCCTGCCGTAAGGGCTCTGGATGAGACTATAAGTTCTGTGCCGCTGTCTGGACAGCAGGGGGCCACTGAAGGCTGCTGAGTGGGGAAGTGATATTTAAACAACTTGCCTGTGCTGGAGCTGGAATCCAAGCCCACCTCATCTGACTCCAGGGCCCCTGCTTTCTAAACCATCCCTTCAGCAAAGATGACACCACTAAGCACCCCTGTCCCAAACCGAGGTTCCTTTAACGGACAACTGGCCCTGCTGGCTGGTTCCTATCAGAAGAATGAGCATAAATGTGAACACTTCCATAGACTTTCTGAACTCCAGACTCATCTAACAAACTTCCCACTTAACGTCTGCACATGGATGATGCACAGGCAGAACCCTCAACCCCACTCTGAGACACCCCTCTCTCACTAAATGGCAGCTCCATCCACCAAATCGCCTGTGCAAAACCTGGGATCCATCCTTGGCATCTCCTCTCCCTTTCCTCCCGCATATGTAATTCATCCCCAAGTCTTGTGAGCTCTGCCCCCAGCTCTGCCCCTCTGGCCCGGCCGTGGGTGTTGGCAGCCTGCAGTCTCTTCATCAGTGGCTCCCCTGCTGTCCTGCCCTTCTTGAATTCAGTGAGCCCCCATGGCATCCGGGGGAGCAATACCAGGGAAACACAAACCTGATCCTGGCACAACCCTGCTCCTCCAAGTTCATACGCTTGAACCCATGACCAGCACAGCGTGGCCTGACCCTGCACACTGCCTGCCTCTGGGGTTGCCGTGCCCTGGCTATGCTGGAAACATTTCAGTTCCTCGTTCTGACTTGGGCCTTCACACATGCTCTTTCCTCTGCCGGGAACTGTTGTCCAGGCTCATTCTGCCCATCCTTCAGGCCTCCCTCAGCAAAGCCATCCGAGCCTCGAGCCTCGAGCCTCCACCGGGTCCCCCTGCCATACTCTCTCACAGCATCCTGTACACCTCCCACGTCATTTGCAATTAAACATTTACCGGTGTGATTGCTAATGGTCAGTTCTCCTACGCAGAACTCCATGAGAAGTTTGGCTAACCTCTGGCACATAGTAGGTATGCATTACTTCTTGATGAATAAACACATGAAATTCGAGTCGTCGTTTAACGGCCTGGAGCTCTTTTCGTTCTGAGACAACCCAGCACACGGTTCCATGCTTACGCTTGAATTTTGTAGGGTGTTTTATTAAGATTTTCTTATGGTTGAAGTGAGCATTTGTTGGTGTCCTTTAAAATAAGTCTTCCACACTAAGGCTACTGCATGCAGGACCTGCAAGCGACAGATTCCCAGGCCTGTTGACCTGCGGCTGATCCAGGATCACCGTCTGAGAACATCTCTGGCTCTGCCTTAGGGGGCGCTAGGCCTGCTGATGGCGGAACCAGAGTGTGCAGGTTACTGCCTGAGGGCTGCCCCTGTGGGGACACCGAGCTGATGATCTCTGGGCTCTTGTAATCTCTGTGGCACATCCTCCTCCTTCTAAGCTATCGGTTTATAGCCGATGGGCTATAAACACTGGAGCAAATTTTAACTTCTGTTAGAAGTCTTTCTAGGGTAACCACTGCACACGAGGCTGCCTCAGCACCCCCTCAGGGCTTCCCTGTCTAAATCTACACTTACATATTGACCCTCATTTTCCACCATATCCTTTAATATCGGAGGAAATCCTCCCCACTGAGCGCCTCCCCTAATGCCCAGTCTGGGTAGAGATTTTCAACATATTCTGTAGTTGAGCATGGATCATGGTAACTTTCCCAGAGCTGAGGCCGACCCTCTGCAGTGCTCATGGCCACTGTGACCTTAACCTTCCCTCGGGCTTCCCAGTCCTCTGACAGTTGACCTTGGGGTGCCAGCTCATCTCTGTACTGCCATCAGATACCCACACAGGGCCCAGAGGTCGTGAAATCCCTCTAACGTGATTATGTGGGGAAATGTTTCTGGAAATTCTGATGACGACTCAACCATCACAGCAAATAGAAACACATGTCCTATTTCTTCACTGGGAACAAACCTCTTTAAAAATAAACTTGAAAGAATTCTTTCATAATGCTATTTTTTTTTTTTCTTTAAAAAAGTCACGGGAGATGACATGTCATTGAATGTCCCTGCCCAGAAGCAGGAACCCGTGTCTGAACTGTACCTGGGACAGACAATCCCAAGCTTCCTTTTCACACAAATGCCCTGGGACACATTCCCAGCCCGAGAGGTGAGTGCTGCCACCTGTCCTGGGGTTGGCCTCCCCTGCTCGGACCCTGCTCAGGGAGGGTCAGCCAGCTCAGCTCCCGTCCCGAGGGAGTGTGAGTCCCAAGCTCTGCCCAGAGGTAACAACAGATCCCTGTTAAGCCACCGCACTCTGTTCTGGTTAGGAAAAACCCCAGCCCCTCCACCAGCGACACACCCCACACACGCATGCTCTGATATACTTAAGTGTGGTTCCTACAGGTGACCCCTCCCAACGGGCACAGTCCTGGCTGCAGGCCTGGGGCTCGGCCACACCTTCGCCAGTCGCCACCTCCTCAGGGTGGTCCCTACTGAGTAAGAGGCGCTCTTGAATCTGCCTGTGGATGTCCAGCTGCAGCCTACACATCTGCTCCTGCAGCTCACTGATCACATTCAGAACCGACTGCAGGAAGAAGAGAAAGGAGAAAAAGCACTCAGGGTCAGTCAGCTCTCAGACATGGAACACCTTCAGGGAGCAGAACAGAAGGAAGGAAGGGCACAGAGGGTGAGCAGCAGGTGGCACCCAGTGGGCACTGTCTGTGACCACCTGCTCTCTTCACTCCCCCCCGTCATACACACACACGCCCATGCTGCACACGCCAACCCCTGCGCACAGGTGACCCATGGTGCGTGCACTCTGCGCTCATGAGTGCTAATACCCCAACCCTGAGCTCTCCTTCACACGCTACACCCAGCCTTACTCCACTTCCCGCGCCAACCCCACTCCTCTGTAGCTGCAAGAGCATTTTGGCCTTTTATGGCAACTCTGAAAAGTAACTGCAGTCCTTGGAATTCACACCCACTCGATTCTGAATCCCGCACTCAGCTCTCCCGGGCTCTCCTTTACCTGCTCCACAGAGTCACTGCAGAGACCAAGGCACTCACAGGTGAGCGGGGAGACACACAGTAACCATCACGACAGGCTGTTAGCACTATGGCCAGGAGAGCCACAGGGCTTTCAGGGGGCAGGGAGGGACTGACTCTGGCTGGGCCGAGCGGTGGACGGGAGGAGTCAGAGATGTCGAGCAGCCACATTCTAAGTCCCTTGCCTGGGTGCGGGAGTAAAGGAGATGAAGCCATGATGTCACTCGTGCTAAGGAACCCAGAGGTTGGGAGGACTGTGGTCAGCCTACAGCCAGGGATGGGGACTTAAGAAGACAGTTGGCAGTAAAGTAGAATGGGGTGGTGGTGAGGGCAGCCAGCGGAACTGTTTAGCCCTGTCTCTGCCCACCTCCCTGAGGTTCTGAGCACCGGCACCCCGGGGACTGCCCACACACGCTACAAGAGCTGTCCATCCCAACCGTGACAGTGTGTCTAGAAGAAGAAACACTCCCACCCCACATCTTGCTCTATAAATCCCGTTTTCAAATGTAGAAGGGAAACTGAGGGTCTGGGTGGGTGCTTGGGGCAGGAGGGGCCCTGGGCCAAGGCCCCTACGCCAGCTCGCTCTCCTCTCTGCTGATGCCACCTGGACTGGGAGGGTTATGACAGCGTCATAAGCAGCCCCTGGCCTCCCAGACACTCTCCCCTTGAGCAAGCTCACCTGATTTAACCCACAGACAGTCCCAGGCTGTCCTTCCCCAGGGTCATCTGTCTAACAAGGTGTTTCCTATGGAAACTAGAGGATTGGGTTGAAAATTCAAGGTGACCCTTCTGGGCCTGAGTACGTGTCCGGATCCCAGACCTGTGGCCAGCTCCACTGTTGCTGGTCCCTGAACCTTGAGGGGACACCGACTACGGGCCAGACTATACCTGCCCTCTTAGTTCTCACCTGCAGCCCCAGTGCAGGCCCTGGGCTCCGACATGGCCTCTGTTCTGAGTTCTGGACCCCGTGCTGCCATGGCTCAGACGCCTGACAAGCGTAGAGGATTCCTGCCTGACTGGCCTCAGCCACTAGGAGTCACAGTCCCGTTCTGTCTGCTGTCCGTGGACGTGGCCATCCCTGGGAGGTGCTAAGTAGGAAACAGAACATCTACATTCGGTTTGCTCAAGCCTGTTTTCCTGAGACATCTCAAAGTCTTTCGGAGCTTTCATTGTTCAGCTGGTAGGTCCCTGGGACTACCTAGGAGGCCCAGGAAGCTGGAGGAGGAGAATCACAGAGGGAGGAGAAGAGCTGGAATCAGCGGCCCCAGGTTGGGGGC